CAACTCTCAGGGTCACTCCGAAGCGCCTCTGGTGACATCTGAATCTCCACGACTCAGGGGCCGCGGCCGTTAGGCCTTGGCCGAGAAGGGGCCCCGAGGAGCCCGACAGGACAGAAAAAACAATGAAGGGGGAGCGCGGGAAAGCTGAGTAGTTCACTCGCCATAATGGTAGCTCGGTGAGTGGTCGGTGTAGGTGGGGGCTATGCGCTGGGCACATCGCCCACACCGCCTTCACAGAAGCCGAGGCCGAAGCCTTCTAGGCCACTGGAGATACTCATCACAGAACCACCATCCGTGTAATGCAAATAAACAAGCGTACATGGTGATACTTCAGAAAGTGTAGAAGGAGGGGTAGCCGCTGTCGAAGGTGGTGAAGGTCATCCGCACGCTAAACAAAACAGGGACAATGCAATTCAAGAAACTCCGATCATGAACCATCCAGGAGAGAATACGCCGTCGGGAACCTGCCTCGTCGTAGAAAGAAATAGTTGCCACTGTCCAACAGCATGCGTCATATGTCGGAGCCGATACTCCCGATTCAAACCTGCGCGATGATCTCCACAAAAATCGGATATTGAGGCGGCGACCACAACCCGTTAAATGACTGGAGTCTGTGGTTCTTTTCTGCCGAAGACGCTCGCGGAGTGCCGCCGTGTGATCTCCCCGCGCTACTTCTTGCGGCCTCCTTTTGCCTCCCTCGAGACTTCGTCCCGCCCAACAGCTTCTGCGCCAGAATCTCCAGGTGCCCCCTGAGGGGGGGGGGGGGGGGGGCGCGCCCCATTTCGCCTTGCCATCGATCTCCTCGGGGGGGGGGGGGGGGGCGCTCCCCATTTCGCCTTGCCATCGATCTCCTCCAGCAAGATGATCGTGGCGTTTTCGGTCTCCAGCTTGCTGTGCGATATCTCGTCCGTTCATCAATGCTGTCGTCAGCGTGGATCGTGATCCCTCCATCCGTCGTCGTGTAGTCGGGCTCGCGTGCCAGAGCGTATTGTGCCGAGCTAGTAGCGCGCCGATCGGAGAGGAACGGTTCGATCCTCTTCAAATAGTAAGGAAAGGCCCTAGCTGGGTTAGGATGTCCTGCCTTCTCCCCCGTCGTCGGCCTGAGAGCTACAGGTCCCGAGTGAGTTTCGATCTGGAAGGCCCCCTGTATTGCCAGTATATCCACGATTCTTTCGTTGAAACCCAGCGCCGTCGACGGCCTGATGTCGTTGCCGCCGCCGCGAGTAAACTTCGACCACTGCTCCCCGTCCAAGAGAAGCCACAACTCTGAAGAAATTGACCAATGTGGTGTCGCCCTTCGCTTGGGCGAACGTCGTGGTTGAATGGTGATGCCCGTCAGGTCGTCCCGCGCCTGACCCCAGTCCGCAAACTGCATCGCACCGTACTTCTGCTGGTCCGTGTGCGTGGACTCGTCCCCCTCGTGGGTGTCGTCGAAACGAACCTCCATCTTCCGTGTAAGGTCGTATGCCTGGGCACCCAAACCACCTTCCGTAACTGGTTTCATCCAATGCTGCTTTACATCGTGCGCCTCCCAATTCTCATCCCGCGCCCCGAAGTAGCGTCGATGACGAGGTACCCGTCCCTTGCGAGACAAGCGCTTCACTAGGCGCTGCACCGTAGCATGATCGTGCAAGTCCCGAAGACACTGGTGCCCGAAACGTGCCGCTAGTCCCTCTTCTTCTGCTGCCAAGATGCCCGCGTCCTGGTCCTCCTCCTCTGTGTGGGGGTCGTAAACCATCGTGAGCTCCCCTTCGCATCTGTCCTCTGAGCCGTGCCCCAGCCGGTCGTTTAGGTCCACCCCGATGATCGGCGCACCTCTTGCCCCGACGCCCTCCCCCAGAGAGCGGGTCCAAGAAGTCATCTCCTGCACAGTAGACCGATGTCCAGAATCTGCTGCTTGGCGTCGGCATGTCCCAGGGAGAGAAACTGCACTCAGATTCAGGAATTCTTCCGATATCTCCATGGCCCTGGTGGGCCCCGTAAAAGACATGAGATTGTACGTAGCGGGAAGAGCAGCGCCATGCTCCATCTCGGATATGAGAAAATAAAACGCCAGAACGATCACGGCGGGTAGCCACCGTCTTGGCGACGCTTGCGGCGCTACTCTCTTCTCAACAGGGGCAGAGAGGGCCCCAGGCGAGATCAAAAGAAACATTCCACTGCAATCCAATACGATGTACCCCTGACATGTACAGTAGCCGCGTGAGTGTGTGTTGTCTTGATCGCTGCGCGGCTGGAGGAGGAGGAGGAGGAGGAGGAGGAGAAGGAGGAGTGCCATCTGAGGGGCCTGGACTGCTCTGGCGTGCTGCGCAGCGGGCGTGCGAGGCCGGAGGCGCCCTGCTGCAAAGCCTCGATGCTTGTGGCCAGGACCTTATAAGGGGCCCTGGAAACGACAGGGCCATTTTGCTACCGGTTCCGTTTTGTCGGTTGTGTCGCCGGTTCCGACGCCGTTTTCTTACCGGTTCCGTCGCCGTTTTTTGACTGGTTCCGGCTCTGGTTCCATTTCTGGAGCCGTTTTTTTGCCGTTTCCAGCCGTGCCTCCACCCGCCGCTCCCGCGAATAGACGAGGAACAAAAACAGAAGCATCAAATTTGGGTGCTCCGCGCGGACTTCTTGGATCTGCGCTGGACCCCCCTGCTCCCTTGCGCGCGGAGCGCGCCACGGGCGGCGCTGGAGGCGCCGCCAGAGGGGTGCCCATCGCGGATTCAAGAAACCCGCGTGGAGCGCCAATGTTTATGCCGCTTGTGGCTCCTCCGAGTGAAAGCTCAGAGGGGGGCGAGGTCCTCCAGCGTGGCGAGTTGACTGGCCACCGCCAGGCGATATGCGCCGAGCAGCGGCAACGGCCAGGGGAACATGCCCAGAGACATCGGTTCGAAAAGGCTATCGCCTTTACCAGTCCAACCCGTCCACGTCACCAGTTGTAGCTGGACAGGCGAACAGCACAACACCTGCTCCGAATGCTGCGGAAAGTGCCGGCGCGCGTGACGCATCCATCCTGCGTCGCAATTGACACTGACGGTGTGGTCTGAGTTCATACATCTCCTAGGACACCAGAAGGATGGTGGATATGGATACATTTGGGCCGCAGGGGGTCCGAATGTATGCATATCCACAACCTGACCAAAACATGGAGTATCAGTTCCCCGTGCGGTGGATATGTGTGTACATTCCAGCCCTGGGATCCGCCTCACCCTTCTCCTCCTCCTTCCCTTCGATCTCCGCGTTCACCATGTCGGCTCCGCCCTCCACGCTTGCATTGCGCGCGGGGCGAGAAAGCACGAGGAGGTTATCCAAGCTCCGCCTTCCAAGGCCGCCATGAAAAGAAGGACAATAAACGGCACGCCACACCTGTTATCCGCAACTGCGCTTGCAGCGGTAGCCGTGCGTCAAGCCCTGTCAGTGTGAGCGTGCAGTGCTCCTTGCAACGTGATGTTAGGCATATGTACGCACGCAGGCACGCAGGCACACACGCACGCACGGACGCACGCACGCACGCACGCACAGACACACACACACACAGACGGTGGAAAATAACAAGCGAATCCGGTATGTCCCATCCTGGATACACGAGGTTTCAGCGCTGTCTGCTCTGATGCTTGATTGAAGGTCATTTGCCAGCCATGATGCCGATAAGAACCACTAACGCGCTAGGACCTGTGGAAGCCACCCAAGGATCTCAAAGCAGGCCTTCGGGCAAGTTGACGGCGGGTTCAGATCTCCCCAGAGGGCCAACTGGACCCGGCAAACTGGGATCGTGGCCGCATCCCGACGCTCTCCGCCCCTCCTCATCCTTGTCTTCGCCCTTCTCCTCATCGCTTCTCACTCCCCCTCCTCCTCCTCCTCCTCCTCCTCTTCCTCCTCCTCCTCCTCCTCCGCATCCTCCTCCTCCTCCTCCCACTGGTGGTGGCCAGGCGGGCTGCCAGCCAGGGAGGCGTCGAGAGCCCCCTGCTGCCCCCGACACTTGCGCAAGGATTGCAGCACACAGGGCACCTCACTCCTGCCTCTCCCCCTGCCCTCACCCTCCACTCCCTCCTCCTCCTCCTCCTCCTCCTCCTCCTCCTCCTCCTCCTCCTCCTCCTCCTCGTCCTCCTCCTCGTCCTCCTCCTTCTCCTCCTCCTCCTCCGCCCCTCCCCTCCCTCTCTCCTCCCCCATTCTGCGAACGCCGTGTCTCCCAAATCCCCGTTCTCCCCGCGCCCTCCGTCCTCGACGGGGCGGGTGGTGGGGGACATGAGGGCGCAAGCGTTGGGTCAGGCGTGTCCTCCTAGAGGCGGATTTTGGAAGGAAAATCCAGCATAAGCAAACATCAATACATACAAAATCACACACACACACACAACTCAGGGCAAACACACCCGTTCCCGACTGCTTGTTTTATTAACATAAAAATAAAAACATACCAAGAAAATGTTCATCTCTATCTCGATGTGTATATATAACTAGGTAGACATATAGAAAAAATGTTTGAACATTCTCTTGTAGAGGGACAGGCCCGACTTGACGCAAGCGCTGGGTCACGATTCCTTTGGTCGTCCGGACGGCAGCACAGACACCGCCTCCCAGGGCGCCGCGCCCGCACCGGGAGGCCGCCCTCCGGTCCCCTCCCCCCCCCCCTCGCGCCTCCCCCCCCCCTTCCTCCTCCTCCTCCTCCTCCTCAGCCTCCTCCTCCTCCTCCTCCTCCTCCTCCTCCTCCTCCTCCTCGTCAACCTCCTCCTCCTCCTCCTCCTCCTCCTCCTCCTCCTCCTCCTCCTCCTCCTCCTCCTCCTCCCGTGCCAGCGAGAGGAAGTCGTTTTCAGCTGGCCGCTTGCAATGCCCCCATGCGAGCGACGATCAAAAACGGGTCTCACGCGCGATGGCACAGCGAGCCTACGCGGTGGCTTACGCGGGCCGCCCGCGTGGCACGCTACGTTGAAGACGAGGGCGCGCACACGCGACCTTACACGGGCAGCTTGCGCGCCAACGTCGGCGCAGACGACCCCGTTTTTTCTGCGTCGCTCGTGTGCCCGCGAAGCAGCGCACTGCAATACAATGCACAGGTTACCACGGCAGCGGGAAGCGTGCGGCCGCAACGAATTCTGAGCGATGAAACTTTTGAGAGCTACTTGGAACTACTCCTCTTCTTCCTGCTCGCCCCTCCCGACGGTTAGTTCTCCCTCTTGCACGCCCACCGCAGCTACCTCCAGAAGCTCGAATGGGAAACTTGCGACGTGCCAGAATTCTGAGCATGACGGGGGCCGACCATCAGCTGAGCTACGGGCGCTCCCACGACGGCTGGCTGGCAAGATTCAGGCTGGAGTGCAAGCTGCGAGCGACGGTGCCCTGCTCAAGGCAGCGCGCGAAAACTGGGCGAAGGTAATCTCACGGGAAGAATCTGCCGACACCCGCTTGCCGGGGGTGAAACAGCGTGTGAGACAGTAAATGTGGATGCCATGACAATGGACACCCTAACCGATCTAACATTGACGTAAACATGTCTATAACATGTGTTAACAGTTGTCGAAACATGCTTAACACATGCCCATGCTTAACACATTTGTTAGCAGTTCAGAAACATAGTTTAAACATGCTTTAGACATCTGGAAATCATTTGGCACGATGCCTCCTCTCCATGGGTCGTCTTCCACGAGACATTTTTGGCTGGTCCCCTCCCCCTTCCCCCCCCCCTGGGGTCCAAAACGCCATTCTAGAGGGGGGGGCGGGGACGAGCCCGTCGACGCATCCCTGGGGGCCCCCAGGGCCCCCCAAAAAAGCCCCAGGAGAGCCCAACAGGGTCCAGGCAGAACGCCAAGACAGTCGAAAAGAGCGTCACGACGGCCAAGGGTAGCCCCACGACGGTCCAAGATGGCTTAAAGATGGCCCACGAGGCCCCCCCAGGGCAGCCCAAAAGCGCCTCCAGAGGATCGCCGAGAGGGCGCCAAGAGGCCAAAATCATCCCATCACGTTGGAAAGCGTACATCTTCAGCACATTCGCGGTTTACGTTTTGACAGAGAGCACGACGGCCCAAGTGGCCCCCAAGATCGTCCCAAGGCGGTCCACGATGCCTCCAGGAGGGCTCCAAGACGGCCCCAGTGGCCCCCGAAACGGTCAAAGACAGCCTCTGGAGGGCCCCAAGAGGGCTCCAAGAAAGCCCCCAAAAAGAATACGACCTGATGTTTCAACCCTCCAATATAGCCCCTCGAACCCAACAGAGGTCCCCGAGGCCCCTCCGAGAGGCCCCAAGAGGCCTCCAAGACGGCCCCAAGAAGCCCCCGGAGGCCCCCACGAGGCCCCCAAAAAGCCTCACAGAGGCCCCCAAGAGTTCTCCAAGAGGCCCCCAGAGATGCATCCCAAGAGACCATCAGATTCATTCAGGAAGCTCTTGACCACCAAGATATAACTTCCACGAGTATCGTCAACACTCACTCCGTGTGGGGGTCGGCGGAATGGAGCAAGCCACTTAAATACTAGGACAAACAAAACGAAGCAAAGGCCTGGTGGATCGCGTGCATCTAAACGTGCATTTAAACGTGCATTACAGCGGCAAAACAACCATACCAAGATCCGCAAGCCCACGGACGTGACCTCTCTTTGGAGCGCATCCTGAAGGGCTCGCCAGGCGCTCCTCACATCGAAACAGCACACCCCGATCTGACACAGAAAACCCATACGAAAGACATGTGTGAAACATGTTCCTGTAGGCACGACGACCAACCGTATTCAGACATACATTTGCGACATGTGTGCTCAGCATACCTGGGGTTCATGTGGGGTCGATGCCGTGGTCGACTGATGGACAGTCAAACCAATCTTGCTTGCAACGTCGATGAAATCGGATACGGAATGTGTCAAGAAGTCCCCGCTTACCGCCACAATGTCAAAGGAAGTTGCCACTGCACTCTTGAGAAGTGTTGTCAGCAGGAACGCGGCTACGGTAGGAACAAACGCGACGGTGCTCAAGGCTCCATCGAGCTCGTGGGACAAGTCGGGGATCGTGATGTCAGCAAGCTGTATCCGCAGGCCGAGGCCCTGCAGCACGTGCGGGGCCAGTTTCATCCCGACGTTCTGCATACTCACCATCTTGATGGTGACCTCGGCGGGTTCGCAACGTGGCAAACGCCTGTCGCAGCAGCCCCTAAACGTGTCAGCTTTAGCCCTGAGGTGTCGCCCAAGCCTGCCCGTGGATTTTTTGGTTCTCCTGGTCAAGCGCTGGTGCAGCTTCTCTTCTTCCGCTTCTCTTCCTCGCCCTCCCAAACATTTAAACGAACAGTACGATCGACTCTGTTGTTTGGCAAGTGTGGTCTTCTTATTTCCTTTGATGTGGTCCAGGACGTCGGACACGTTGGATGTGAACAAACCCTTATCGTAAATGATGTCAACATCCCGGAGCACGATCTCTTCAACCACGAGGTGGCGCCCAAAAGTGCATAGGAAAGCCGACATACTCACATCAATCATAATGGTGTGGGCGTCCAACAGGTACTCGGTACTGTACCCTTCAGGATTATCAATCACAAGTTGAGTTATCTGCACGCGACCTGAGAAAAGGTTGATCTGCAGATCCTCGAGCTGAACATCCACACCAAGCACCAAATCGTCAAGAACCTCAATGGCCTCTATGATGGCTACTCGCAGCACCCTGAGGGCCAGCCACAGGGCGACGAAGGCCGCGCCAGTACACAGCAGCGCTCCGAGAACGCCGATCTCTGCGAAAGGATTGACGAACATTGCATGAAAAGCCTTAGGTCGGGCATGTCCCCCTACAGGCGGATTTTGGGCGAAATATAACATATAGTCTTCAATATACCCCCAAATGATCAAAAACAGTCGAAAAATCGTCCCCAGACCATGTTTTGCCTATTTCTGGAGACTCCTCCCGTGGAGGGACAGGCCCGACTTAAGCATAATTAGCCGGGGGGGAGAGGCAGCGCTGCGCTCCGGAGCCTTCCCGTGCCTGAGCCGGCGGCCCCCTCGGGCACAACGGAGGTGGACGCAACGGGGCGCTCGCTGTTTCTTCCAGGGCTGGGCCTGAGCCAGGGGGCAGAGCATCCACCCCGAGAAGAACCACCCCGACACGCGAAGCCGTTCAGTAAACGCACCCGAAGAAGGAGGAATCAAACAGGGCAGGGCTGCTCAGTAAACGCCCAGGGCCGTTTAGAGTAAACGCCCATTGTCGGGTCCGGGTGGCTTTTCCTCTCTTGGTAAACGTTGTTGTTCGTTTTGTCTTCGCTTTGTTTCCCGTGCTGCTCTGCCTGCTTTCCTGCACCCTCCCTGCCACAGCGAAAAACAGAGCACAGCCGAAGTCCAGCAAAGCAGCGTTCAGGTCCAGCCCTGGCCTCGCCTCTTCGACCGCCGAGGCTGTCCCGCCAGGAGGCCGAAGGCACGGACGCGACCCCTCTCGCGGAGGATACCGCCGGCACCCCACCAACGAGGATCTCCGTCGAGACGGCGAGGGTAGCGTATACACTGCCGTCGTCCTCCTCCTCCTCCTCGATCCTCACTCCTCCAGCTGAGCATCCACCTCCTCTCATCTACTCCTCATGCACGTATCGGCCCCACTCCAACCACTCCACCTGCTCCTCACTCATCCCTCTGCTCGTCCTAGTCATCATCGTCATACTAATCCGCATACGCCTCTCATTCCCTGCTCTACTTGATCCTCCGCCTCACCATGCGCCCGATCCTCCTCGTCCCTTTACCTCTCTCACTTCCCCTCCTTCTCCTGCTCCTCCCCTCTCATCATCATCCTCCCCCTCATCTCGCTCCTCCTTCTCTCGTCCTCCTCGCCACTACCCTTCCCCGACTACTCCTGACAAGAGATGAAGCGAGATAAGATAGCGCGGGAGAGGGGCCTGACCTCCCGAAACAGCATCCCGCTACACCAACTGCATCCTGCTCCACCTCCTGCCCTCCACAGGGTCTTTGGCACGAAGAGGCGGCTCCCCCGCGTGAAACTCTGGCCGGCGTGCCTGGACACTGACGCCTTGCAGCGGGCACCCCTGGGAGTACAGTCAAGTCGCACAGCAGGAACAAGCAACTTCTTCCAAGGCTGCCCTTGCATTCTGGCCCCTTTGGGCCCATCCTTGGCGACTTTGGCTGGCCAATTCCGTTCGAAAACGCCGGCATGGCCCTCCACGGCCCTTGCATCCGAACCGCGCATTCTTGTCATGCGACTTGACTGCAGAACTGCCCTCGCGACACGGCTCGTGCCCCTGCGGCATCGCGCAGCAGCAGCCGCGGGCGGTCGTGCCGAGCCCTGGCCGCCAAGAGACGCCACTGCCCCAGCAGCGCGCACACCATCGACTGGCACTCGGCCAAGCGCTTCCCCTGCACAAGCCGCACTGCGCAACAGTGCCTGGGGAAACCAAACGGTGCCGATACCGCACCCCCCCAGACCTCTCCCGGGGCGCGCTCTGACCAGGATTTCCAGGCGAATCCAGCGGTGGCGACGACGGAGTCCCAGGAGGCCCAAAAAGGGGAATACGAGGAGGAGGGTACTGCCCTTCCCTTCGTTTGCCCATACCTCTACTAGAGACTAGAGGTATGGATATCTTCTCCTCCACTAGAGGTATGGGTACATTTCCCTCCTCTGAGTGCCACCGCGGCGCCGCGGCTGAGCGCCTCTGCGTCCAGGAAGGCACTGGCCCTGGCGCCCCCGCGCGAGCCCGCCTCCCGGAGAGGCCCGACCAGGCGCCCAGGCACCATCGCCCGAGGCACCGCCGCAGCTCCGCCGACCACCGCTCCATCAGCAGCGAGCGCAGCTCCCTCGCGCGCTTCGCGTTCGGGCGTTGCTAGAAGAGCCCCTGGCCCGTGGTGCCCCCAGGTTTCTCGGGCTGGCCCAGATGGCCTACAGAGCACCCCTCTCGAGGCCCAGGGGATCCTGTAGGGGCCCCAGAATGGGAGAGCCGGGTGCACCTTGGGCCAGGGGCACTTTTGGCAACACCCGACTCGTGGCGGAAGAAGTGGGCCTCCTCCCGCCGGAGCTCCTGCTCGAGCTGCTCCCTGGCCACCTCCAATTGAGAGGGCAGAGAATTCACACCCAGAATAAATCACCCCGAAACGCGAAGCCGTTTAGCACACGCACCCAAAAAAGGACTCGAACGGGGCAGGGCTGTGTAGTAAACGACCGGGGCCGTTTAGCAAATGCCAATGATCGGGTCCAAATGATTTGTCCTCCTTTGACTTTTCGTGGCGGAAGAAATGGGCCTCTTCCCGCCAGTGCTTCTGCTCGAGCTGCTCCCTGGATGTCTCCCAATCCCAGACCCCCGACGTCGTGTTTTTTTCGCGACGTCGACCCCCAGAGGTCTGAATCCCTTCCCTGGGACCGGTTTCTCATCCTCAGTCGTTTTTGTCGACGGTCCTGGAGGCTGGAAAAAAACAAAACACCTCCCGTCGCGATCTCTTCACAGCGCGAGGACTTATGGGATTGGCACTTGCTGTGGACGTACGAGCTCCGCCTCCGCTGCGTGGCTCGCGGCCGCCCGCGCGGCCACCCGGCTCCAGGCATGGAAGGCGCGCCGAGCTTCACCTGACGTCCCGCTCTCCGCTGGTGAGCTCGCGGGCGGGGCCGCGACTGGCCGCGCCCTGGCAGAAGCAGCGCTGGCGCTGGCCCAGACACGTCGGTTTGCCGACGGGGGCGCCGACTTTGCGCTTGGACGCCCCAGAGGCCGCGGCATGCCCGCAGCCGCCGCGGCGGCCAGGCGGACCAGCTCTGCCTCCAGCTCCTGCTTCCGCAGCTCCAGAAGGCCGGCCCGCAGCATGTCCTCTGCCGCGATCCGCATCGCCTCCGCCTTCCGCTGCAGGCGCCCGCGCGTAGCCGTCAGACTCGCCTCCTCCGCCGGTGGCTCCCGCCAGCCGGCGCTCATCCCTGCGCGGGTCGCCCCCCGCGGGGAATCGCCCGACGTGCTCCTCCTCGGCCAGGGCGAGGGGGCCACGGAACACGAGAAGGCTCGCCGCGATTGTGTGTCACCGCTCGGGCGCCGGGCCCTCACGGACCGATCCAACTTGAGGAATCCATCGGGCGATGGAGTCGGCAGCTCCAGTCCTTGCGTCTATGACGACGTCATCGTGTCTCCCACGCGGCTGATGTCTGAGGCGAAATAGGCGGGGGCTGCTCCGCCGCAGGATCGCAGGATGAGACACATGAGGTCGAAAGTGAAGGGGTGAGATCGAATAGGAACGGAGAGCCCCCCTACCGGGAAATCGGTTTCGGTTTCGTGTTCGCGCGTGCCGTGCGTGCGGGCGAAGCGAAGCTGCGTGGGCGGGCGAGAGATAAGTCTCCTGTAGCTGAGGCGCGGCCGGACCAAAAGTCTCCGTTCCGGCAACCGGTGCCCCGCGGTGTCCCGCTGGTGTCCCGCTTGGGGGCCGAATGGCGCGCGGTGTCCCGCCGGTGTCCTGCCGGTGTCCCGTCGGTGTCCCGATGATGATGATGATGATGATGATGATGATGATGATGATGATGATGAAGATGATGATGATGATGATGATGATGATGATGATGATGATGATGTTGATGATGTTGACGATGATGATGATGGTGGTGATGATGATGTCCCGATGATGATGATGCTGACGAGGTTGCTGATGATGGTGATGGTGATGGTGAAGATGATGATGGTGCACCGATGATGGTGATATCGATGATGATGGTGATGTTACGGATGGTGATGATGATAGTGCCCCGCTAGTGATGATGAGGTTGATGATCCTGATGGTGTTGATAATGATCAGATGCTTGATGCTGATGTTGATGATGATGGACATGGTGATGATGATGGTGTTCCGGTGATGATGATGATGATGAGGATGTTGAAGATATGATGATGATGTTGATGATGGTGGCTCAATGATGGCGATGCTGATGCTGAGATTGACGATGGTGGTGGTGCCCCGATGATGTTGGTGAGGGTGATGGTGATGATGATCATGGGGACGATGAACATGGTTTTTCGACGATGATGACGATGTTGGTGATGATGCCGCTGATAATGATGATGGTATCCCGATGATGATGATGTTGTTCATGCTCATGATGATGAGATGGTGATGATGGTGGCGTTCCGATGGTGATGATGCAGTCCCGTTGATGATGTTGATGATGGTGATGATGTTGACGACGCTGGTGTCCCAATGATGATGATGGTGATGATGATGTTGGTGATGATGGTGATGAGGTAATGATGATGATGGTGTCCCGATGATGCTGATGATGCTGGTGATGATGTTGATAACGTTGATGACGATGGTGTTGATGATGATGCCGTTGATTGTGATATCGATTATGATATCGATAGTTGGATCGATAGTTAAACCGATGTGAGATCGATTGTGAGATCCATAGGGAGATCGATCGTGCGATCGATTGTGAGATCGATTGTCAGATCGATTGTGGGATCGATCGAATGAAGCAGATCCAGTGAAATCGATTGTGACACCGATCGAGTGAGATCGGTCGAGCGAGACCGATAGTGAGATCGATAGTGAGATCAATAGTGAGACCGATCGAGTGAGACGTTGGTTCCTCCCCCCCCCCGAAGCTCCTTATCACCCGAAGGGTGGTCGTATAGGTATACAGGAGAAGGACAAGGTAGACCAGGATGAGGACAAGGAGGTGTACGTATCCCCCTCCCCCCCCCCCATGGGTGTTTGCGTGGCCTGGTGGGTGTTTGCGTGGCCTGGCGCGCGGCTGGATGGGTGCTACTGCGGCCCGCGATGCTATCTCAATTAAGAATGTTGTGCGAAGATGTTATGTGTTAGGTGTGCACCTTCTGGCGCCCTTGAAAGGTTTCATTCCCGCCCGGAATAAGGCGACCACACAAACGCCTATGTGGCGGCGTGTCGAAATCAACTCGGTACTACTCGTAGTAGTTGTAGCAATGACAGTGGAGGTGGCGGTGGTGGCGGCAATCGCAATAACAGAATGAGTAGTCGTAGTAGTCGTACTAGTAGAAGTCGTAGTAGTAGTCGTAGTCGTAGCAGCAGTAGTAGTAGTAGTAGTAGTAGTAGGTGGCAGTGGCAGTAGCAGTAGCAGTCGCAGTAGCGATAACACTAGAAATCATAATAGCTGTAGTCGCGCAAGTAGTAGCAATGCCAGTAGACGTAATAGTGATAGTAGCAGTAGTAGTAGTAGTAGTTGCTGTTGTTGACCAAGTCGCACTGGATACAACAAAAATAGTCGCAATCGTAAAGTCGTAGTAGTACTAGTGGTAGTAGGAGTAGTAGTAGTAGTTGTTGTTGTAGTAGTAGTGAGAGCTGTAGTAAGTCGTACTACTACTAGGAGTACTAGTAGTCGCAATTATTTTAGTAGTAGTACCAGAAGTAATAGTCGTCGTAGTAGTAGTTAAAATAGTAATAGAAGTACTACTAGTAGTCGTAATCGAAGTAGTAATAGTAGTAGCATTAGTGGTAGTAGCACTAACACTAGCACTAGTAGTAGTAGTAGTAGTAGTAGTAGTAGTAGTAGTAGTAGTAAAAGTAGTAATACTAGTCGTAGTGATAGTAGTAGCAGTAGTACTAGTAGTAAGAATACTCGTAGTAGTAGTTCTTGTTGACCTAGTTGTACTGGATACATGGATACAACAATAAGAGACGCAATCATAAGTCGTAGAAGTACGAGTAGTCGTAGTAGTAACCGTAGTTGTTGTATTAGTAGTGGTAATAACAATAGTACGAGTAGTCGTCGTGATATCAGCAGTAGTGGTAGTAGGACGAGTGGTAGTAGTAGTAGCAGTAGTAGTAATAGTAGTAGTAGTAGTAGTAGTAGTAGTAGTAGTAGTGGTAATCTTAGTGGTAATAGTGATAGTAGCCGTAGTCGCAGTGAGAGCCGAATAATAGAAGTAGTCGTAGCAATTAGTAGTAGGGTAGTAGTCGTAGTCGTAGTATTAGTAGTAGTCGTAGCAATAGTACAAGTAGTTGTAATTGTAGTACTAGTAAGAGTCAAAGTAGTAGTAATGTTAGTAGTAGTAGTAGTAGTAGTAGTAGTAGTAGTAGTCGTAGTAGTAGTAGTAGTAGTAGCAGCAGTAGTAGTAGTAGTAGTAGTAGTAGTAGTAGAAGTAGTAGTAGTAGTAGTAGTAGTAGTAGTAGTGGTGGTAGTAGTAGTAGTAGTAGTAGTAGTACTAATAGTAGTAGTACTCGTAGTGGTAATCGTAGTAGTAGCAGCAGCAGCAGTAGTATCACCAGCCCCTTCGGGGGGATGGGTCTAGGGAGCTTCCTCTTCCGACTCCCTTCTTCCCCTTCGGGGAGGGGTTTATCACTGTTCCCTATTGATGAACACCCCCTCCCCCACCCAGCCGGCAGCCAACCCGGAACCATGAGCACGTCATGGGCCCCCCCCTTATCCCTGCCAAAAAATTACTCCAAACGAAAGACCCCGAATGAAAATCCTGTCGGCTCGTCTAGGAATACCCTTCACTGTCGTCCTCGTGATTAGTGAGGCTCCCTTCTTGTCTTCTCTGCGTCATTCCAATTCTCGCCCTGGCGCGGGGCCCTCACCCGCTCCCCGCGTTGCCCTTGCCTCGCCCTCCTGCTGTTTGTTTCGTCACCCACCACCTCCTCTCCTGCCCCCGCCCCCGTTCCGGCTGACGATGGGTTACCACCGCCAGCCCGGAGACAAGGGTTTCCCCCTGCCCCCGCTTTTGCCGAGGATGGGTTACCACCCCCGGCCCCCGGACGCAAGGGCTCCCCCGTGCGCCCGATTCGGCCGAGGATGGGTTACCACCCGCAGCCCGGACAAAAGGGTTTCCCCCTGCCCCCGATTCGGCTGACGATGGGTAGCCACCGCCAGCCCGGAGACAAGGGCTTCCCCCTGCCCTCGATTCGGCCGAGGATGTGTACCACCCCCGACCCGGACGCAAGGGTTCCCCACTGCCCCCGATTCGGCCGACGATGAGTTACCATCGCCGGCCCGGAGATTCCCTGCCCCCGATTCGGCTGATGGGTAACCACCGCCAGCCCGGATGCAAGGGTTTCCCCCTGCCCCCGCGTCGGCCGAGGATGGGTTACCACCCCTGGCCCGGACGCAGGGGGTCCCCCCTGCGCCCGATTCGGCTGACGATGGGTTACCACAGCCAGCCCGGAGGCAAGGGTTTCCCCCTGCCCCCGATTCGGCTGACGATGGGTTACCACCGCCAGCCCAGACACAAGGGTTTCCCCCTGCCCCCGATTCGGCCGAGGATGGGGACCACTCCCGGCCCGGACGCAGGGGTTCCCCTGCGCCCGATTCGGCCGAGGATGGATTAGCACCCGCCAGCCCGGAGACAAGGGTTTCCCCCTGCCCGCGATTCGGCTGACGATGGGTTACCACCGCCAGCCTGGACACAAGGGTTTCCCCCTGCTCCCGCTTCGACCGAAGATGGGTTACCACCCCCGGCCCAAACGCAAAGGTTTCCTCATGCGCCCGGCCGCCGTCGTCGTCCTTACCTCGTGTTCCTCATCGTCCTCCTCACCTGCTGATGGGTCGGGCGATTCGCCCTCTGAAGAGCGCATAGGGAGGGGGCTCCAGACTTCCTCACAATTCACTCACACACGAGGCTCCCCGCCTGATACCTCTCCCATATCCATACCTTAGGAGCCCAAAAGGTGACGACAGTTACAGGGATGAGGATGACCCGCTCGGATTACCAATATGAGCTGCGGGCCCCATATAGGGAAGGTTGTTACCGACGCACCGTTCAGGAGCCGAAGACCAGGAGGACAAGGACCTCAGCCCAGATGGGCACCAGCTCGAGCGGCAGAAGCCCATGACCGCAGCAGCTGGCGCCCGCTTGCAGGACGGACCAGGCGGCTGAAGCACAAACTAGTTGACGTAAGTCGCGCCCTGGAGATGCGGCAGGACACCAGCGTATACCTGCAGGATTTCCAGGCTGACCACTCAGATCGGATATAAGCATCGGATAGTAAAAGCGCCCCTCCGAACGACCCTCATCGAAATTAAAAAGCAGCAACCTGAACATTGGCAGTGTTAAAACATTGTTCGACAAGCTGCCCGACGACGCGGACCGAGCCCTCGATCGAAACACGCAAATTGGAGAGATGAGGGACAAACATCAAATGCAGAAAGGAGCTGGATAGGAGGGCATCAGTGGTTAAAAGACACGTCCTGCTGAAAGCCGCAGCGAGTTTGGAAAACCAGCGAAGGAAGATGGTCTGGAAGACCTCTTGGCCGATGCCAAGACGAAGCCGATCGATTATCCAGAATTTGTGAGATTAAGCCTTACGAGAAAAGAACGAGGACCCGAAGGCCCCAGCAAGAGGCCCCCAGAGAGCTGAGCCGATCATAGCCAGTCGAACTTCCAAAACAGCTAGGGACTTCAGCCACGACGCGGCGTCCACGTACGACGCTCTCACCCCCGAGGCATCCTGCGTTGCCCGGCCAGACGGAGCACGAGCTCGCCCCCCGCTGCCTCAACTCTTGCGAGCACGTGGGCCGTTTCACGACCCAGTTGCGCACCACCGGCATCTCCCTCATCCCCGAGCGTGAGCAGCAGGAGGGCAAGGAGAGTAGGAACCCTAAATAAGGAACGAGGCCCCTTTTTTCCATAAGTTGAACTTCGATTTCCCATGGGAAACCTCAGGAGAACCGAAGGTACACTGCAGAACAAGCAAGGAACACCCAGTCCAAGCCACAGGGGCAATAGGACTCACGCCCTCCCTCTGGAGGCGGTGGGCGAGGGTCAGCCGCTATAGCCAGCAGCTCGACAGTGGGAGTTGCAGCACAAGAGCCCAGACCTGGCTCGCAGAGCGGGAACCTTCATCGCGACTGTGTAGCTGCCAGCGTTTCAAGCGGTGTCTGCGCACTGCGGAGGTCTACTAGTAGACATAGTGCCGCCGCACTGTGGGACCTGTCCTACCATTATGAGCACATCAGCAGGGAGGAGGTGCACCAAAGAGCAGCCTCCACAGGTTGCAATCGGGCTATCGCCCTCTGGATAGCCAACCACTACGCTGGCCCAAGGCCCGTGTGGCGAGCAAAGGCCAAGCAGTTTGTGTTGGCAGCCCGCAGTTTGCCACACCAGCAGGTTGCAATCTCGCCACATACGCGATCCAGGCTCATATCACTGCCCCGCTCGATGTATGGGTCCGGGACAACCCAAACTTAGACCTCTACATGTTCATAGGTGACCTCCTCCTCCAGGGCCACGATGAGAGACCCAAGGATGTTGTGAAGATCCTCGCTACCGCCGCCTTCGCCTTGAAATGAGCCATCGAGATCGAAATCAAGTGCACGATCGCCGAACACAAATCCGTCGCCCTGGCCTCGTCTAACGCTTTTCGGTGGCATCTAGTAGAAGCCCTTGGGAAGTACGCTGGACCCAAAACTGAAAGCATCGACGCCGCAGTCAACCTAGGTATCGACTGCACTGCAGGAGGAATGCTTCGCAGCCGACGAGGACGTGTAGTCCTACGCCAACGCCTTTTTCAAAATACGCCACCGTAAGCCAGACCGCAGGCGGTCAGGAAGGCTGTCGCGGACACGCGCAAGCTCCACAGAACAGGCTTGGGTCAGGCGAATCATCGGTCCGGAAGCTGTAGGCCTCACCAATTCCAAATTTACCGAGGGCCGACACGTCTATCTCAGTACTGTGGGGGCCCGAAATCACCCCAGATCCAGAGCCATCAGCCTATGCCTCTTGGGAGACACAGCGTGGAAAGCCGCGCTGTGACAGACAACATGACCCGTAGGTTCGACTGCCCCCACATCCGCAGTATCACAAGTGAGCGGCTCACCCCGCACGACATGGAATATTAGAAAACAAACACCCCCTAGCAGCTCCCCTGGCCCACGGTTTTCAATGTAGCCCCCTTCCTCCTCTGTATAAACCGACCTGTTGGTTTCGGCCCCGGCTGGGAGTTTTGACCCCGAAGTGGGGACCGAAGGGAAGTCGCCATGCCGGGGGAAGGCTTCGTTGACGGATCCTGCTACCAGCAAGGTCCACAGATGCGGCACCAGACGGGCTGGGCCGTCCCCGCTGTAGATGTGAGAGCGCGGAGGGCACCGCTCACCTGCTCTGGGCAGACAAGATAGCTCCTGCCGCCCAGCCTGCCTGCTGCCGTGACCGTCGCCTTTGCCGTGGCCCACGGGCGTTCCAGTTGAAAGAGCACGCGTTCGAACCACACAAGGGCTACGGAAAAGTACGCCCAGCCTGCTGCTTAGAGGGGGAAGGTGTATGCGGGGCGACCCATCGGTCGGAAGAAGCAGGCAGAACCACGAAGTGGGAAGGCGCTGAAAGTAGATCGGGTGCCCGCCCGCCGTGGCCCGTGGCGAGGCCACTCGATCACGAAGTCGTAGGGCGCCGAAAGCAGGCTGGAATCCAGACACGCCTGCTCTCAACGACCGATGGGCACACCCGGGGTGGCAGCTCCCTCGTTTTTTCGGTCGCGGCCGCGAGCGAAGAGCGCACGCGGCGACAGAGGCAGCTTCCTCGCGCGCTGGGAACAAAAAAAAAACCTCCTGCGCAGGGCCCCCCGCCGTGGCCCGCAGCTCGCACCCCCGACCTCTGGAGGAGGGGGAGGAGGGGGAGGAGGAGGAGGAGGAGGAGGAGGAGGAGGAGGAGGAGGAGGAGGAGGAGTATGAGTCTGACCATAAGACGAAGTCTTGAGGAGGAGGAGGAGGAGGAGGAGGAGGAGGAGGAGGCGGGGCCCGCGGCGGGCCGACCCCGGAGCCCGCTGGTCGAACCGCTGGGTGGGGCGCCGCCTGGCTCGCCTCCCCCCTCCCAACCTGTCGGAGGCCTGGAGGTGGTCCCAGATGGTCTGGTACCGGAAATTTTCGGTAGCGATTTCGACGCACCCCGAATTTCGGTAGCGACCGGATCTTCGTTCGAGGGCGTTGAAATAGCGGATTTCAGAACGGTCTGATACCGGTATTGGGCGCTACATTTCGGTATTTCGGTAGCGACCGATCTCTGCGGAGTGGTACCGGAAATTTTCGGTAGCGGACCATCAGGGGTGGACACCAGCGCCGGTGTCGGCGGTGTGCCTCCGCCGAGGGAAGAGTGCCCCGATCTCGGCGGTGGTGGTAACATCCTGGCCTCTCGGGCGGCCGAAAGATTACCACCAAGACCGAGATCTATAGGATCGTCTTCCCCCGGTGGAGGCACCCCCCTGTGTTGGTGCCGGTGCCCACTTCCAGGCCGCCAAGCCGGCCCGCCTCCTCCCCGTCCCCCGCCTGGGGGTCCTTAAGACCACGGTCGGCGCTCCTCCCACGACCAACGGAGCAAAGGCGAGCACCAGTGGGTCGAAGTCGGAGGCGTTCTCGGAGGAGCGAGCTCTGCCCAAGCCGATTCCGAAGGGAGACCACCAAAGGCCCAGGGGGGACAAAACAGAGTGTCCTGGTCTGTGCGCCACGCTTTCGCAACTCGCCGAGAACAGGAACGGACATTATATATATATACACACACGATTTCGACCGACTCGAGAATAAAAGTTGCGTCGCCGTCTGCTGGCAGTCCGGTACTTACAGTGAACTCTGTGCCAATGCTTCCGGAGACGAATGCCTAGGCCACCCTCCAAGCAACAGTCAAGTAGCCGCCCTACACTGCTTTAAGACGTGCCGCCAACCCAAGAATGGGATGCAAAGCAAGCCCTGCTTTGCCACCCCCATCACTCTCGATATGCTCATCCGAGAGGCGCACGTCGCGCAGTGGGCTGCAAGTTTTCCCGCGTAAGGCAAGCGGACGAAAACATCATTGAGGCAGACGCGCTGGTCCCTTACGTTCCTGCCCTTCCCTCTCCACTCGCCCCGCCACCCCTCGGTCCGCGCCCCTTCCATTACACTGTCGCTTTCCCTCCATTTACCCTCCCCCTGCTCCTCAGTCCCGGATTCGTCCCACCTCCCCTCCCCCAAACAACTCTCCCATCTGCCCCTTCCCCTCGCCCTCCCCACCCCCCCCCTGCGCCTCCTTCTCCGCTCCCTCTCGCGACTCCTGCGGCGCATGGCATGGGAGCGTCACTTTTGCTGCCCGACGCCCCGTCGCGCAGGCTGGCCAACTCTGGGCCATTGCTCGGCTCTATCGACGGCCCCATTGGCGCCAAGCCTCCCTGCCGGCCCCTTGCAGGAGCAGGAGCCTCCTCTGTCTCGTGCTTCATCCCTCCTGCACCATCATCAGTCGCAGAATCGCTGCTGTCTTCCTCCTCATCGTCATCGTCGTCGCCATCGTCATGGTCATCAGCATCATCATCATCATCATCATCATCATCATCATCATCATCATCATCATCATCATCATCATCATCATCATCATCATCATCATCATCATCATCATCTTCATCTTCATCTCATCATCATCATCATCATCATCATCATCATCATCATCATCATCATCATCATCATCATCATCATCATCATCATCATCATCATCATCATCATCATCATCATCATCATCATCATCTTCATCAGCATCATCATCATCATCAGCATCAGCATTATCATCTGCATCCTCGTCGTCATCAGCATTATCACCAGCAGCAACAGCAACAACATCACCGCCATCACCGGCAACACCGAAATCACCATCGTCGTGGACGTCATCCTCTCCACCGTCATCATCGTCCTAAGTGTCGGAGACTGGGGGGTAAGGTCGAAGGGAAAGGGATACCCTCCCGCCGGGAAGTCTGTCTCGGCTTCGTGTTCGTGATGTGCGTGCGGGCGAGGCGAAGCTGCGCGCGCGGGCGAGAGGAGTGAACCCGCCGTTGCCAGGGGGAAGCCGGGCCACACGATGCGGCCCTCCCCGCGCCTGGCCAGGGACGGCCCTGGGGGGATGTCCCCACGGTGTCCCGCTGGTGTCCCGTTGCTACCGCAGGGGCCCGACCACAAGAAACCCTCCAGAAGAAACCCAACCCTGAGACCCCAGGACGTCCCCTGATGCTTGGTGTGGGAACGCCACGCTTTCCATCGCAAAAACATCGAAATCCAGAGAAACCCAGGGCACCTTGGAGGCACGCAGGGTATTCCTTGGCATGGGTCTCTACTGTAGGGCAAAACCGGTGACAAATGATGCTGTGCCCTCCCCCTGGTTGGCCAGCGGTGGCCGGGGGGAGTCCCGATGGTGTTCCGATGGTGTTCGGATGGCGTCCCGACGGTGTCTCGAGGGTGCCCTGGTGGTGTTCCTGCGGTGCCCCGATGGCGTCCCGATGATGTTCCAATAGTGCTCGAATGGTGTCCAAATGGTGTTTCGGTTGTGCCCCGATGGTACCCCCATGGGGTCCCGACGGTGTCCCGATGGTGTCCCGATGATTGCCCCGATGGTTGTCCCGTGAGATCGACAGGTAGATAGTGAAAATCGGTGGATCGTGAGACAGATCGATCGTGAGATCGATGGATGGTGTCATCGAATGCGAGATGGATGGTGAGACCGCTTTTTAGTGAGAAAGATAGATAGAGTGACCGATGGTGAGATCAACAGTGAGATCGACAAAGCAAATTGTCATGAAGGTGTCCCGATGGTGCCCCAATAGTGTCCCGATGGTTGTCCCGATGGTTGTCCCGATGTTGTCCCGATGGTGCCATTGATTTGCCCCTGCAGTGTCTTCAGCTCGCGAGCGCAAAACCAGCATCGGTACCAACACAATCATCGCAGTTGCCGTCAGTTGCCCCCCCCCCACCACATAGACACAGCATTCCCATCACCCGAAGGGCGGTCGTCCTGCATGTCCTCATCACATGTTTCCTCCTCCTCGTCCTCATCCTGCTCCTGCTCCTGCTCCTGCTGCTTCTCCTCCTCCTCCTGCTCCTCCTCGTCCTGCCTGTCCTCCTCCTGCTTCTCCTCCTCCTGCTTCTCCTCCTCCTCCTCCTCCTCCTCCTCCTTCGCTTCTCCCCCAATCGTTCTCCTGCGCAGGGCACTCCCGATTCTCACCCTCCTCCTGCTCCCTTTGCCTGCCCTCCTCCCTCCTGCCCCCCATCTTCGGCCCGCTGCCTCCTACAGACATGCCGCCGTGTGCATGCTCCTGGCTGCGCCAGCCCTCTCGTGCTTCACCCCCAGACCCTCCTCCAGGACCCTGAAATCCAGGGCACGCTAATCACTACTGGTCCTTCGGTTTATCGCTTTGGCGGTCCACATCCGCATTGCTCCCCAACTTCTTCAGCGACTTTCTGGTCTTGTGGACAGCTGTATGAACGGTCCCAACAGAATGGAGGAATGCCGTCAGAACGGACCACATCGCCCGGAGGCTGCCCAGGAACACCAGGAAGTGTTGAAAAAGAAGCAGCAACTGCAGCCAGTCGAAGGAACTGACCGTCAGCTTCCAAGCGGCCATGCCCATGATGCCAGGCAGGCCAAATCCGAACAGCCGGGACAGTGACTTAAAGGAGATCTCGGTGTCGACGACTAGATGGAGCCAGGCGTCCTCGACCATCCCACAAAACAACTCCCAGAGCTCTCTGGCCTGTTCAGCCACCTGCCGCTCCCTCCGGACAACGAGCTTATCCAGCTGCGTGAAGAAGCACAGGGCGAAGAGAAACTGCCAAATGATGGACCACCACCCGAGTACCACCCGCAGCCGGTTCGCCGAGATCCTGGCGCCGTACAGGGGCGCAGCCCACCTGCTCATGGCGAACTGTGGCGCACGGCCCTCCTTCAGCTTGTCCGCCTTCAAATCCTGCAGGACGCTCAGGAATTCGCCCACGGGCGCCGCCATCGGCGCGGCGAAGCACAGGAAGTCGAGCTCGCCACAACGGCCGACCTCCAGGGCGACCTCCAGGGCAAACCCGCGCGCCGCCCGCGCCCGCACGGAGGCCCACACGCCCGACACGTGCCGCCACTCCAGGGACGCGAGGCATGTGGAGTCCGTGCCGCAGACGCGCACGCGCTCGCCGTCCCAGCGGACTTGGAGCGCCTGCTGGTCCTCGGCCCCCCGCGCGGCCGTGGGGATGCGCTCGTACTGGCCGCCCCGGGAGAAGGTGCACGAGGACGCCTGCAGAGCCCCTGCGGGCGCCTTCTCGGCCATGGTCTGGGGCGCCGCTCAATGGGGGGGCGATACATGTTGGGGGGCAGCGAGGGCTGCCGAAAAGGGGCCGCTGGGGCCCCTCAAGGGGCCCGTTCGGGCCCCAAAGGGAGCCTTCAGGGTCCGAAAAGGGTACCTCTCTCCCCCCCCCACTTGGCGGATTCCAGATATCTTGAACCCGAGAATGTTGACATCTCTTGGAGGGTAATGTTTTACTACCGCCGCCTTCCGCCGAGCGTCCGCCGGCGTCCGCCAGCTGCTGCGGGCGGAGACGCCGTCGTTTCACTCCCGCCGCCTTCCACCGATCTTCCGCCTCCCTCCGCCGCGGAAGAGATGGCAACTCCTTCGATGCTCGAGGGCAAGACCCTTTTTGGAACTCCTCGTGTATCGCCCCTGGTCGCCCAATGGCCTCGGTCCGGTGGCCAGGCTCGGCTCGCCCGCGCAGCGGGCACCCCCGCCAGGGGTGGACCGACCGCCCTAGCACGCCGCCGATGCAAGACGAAACCAGGACGAGAATAAAATCGTGTGAGAATAAATCTGCTCCTCCTCCTGCCGCTCCTCCTCCTCCTCGCCCTCCTCCTCCTCCTCCTCCTCCTCCTCCTCCTCCTCCTCCTTCTCGTCCTCCTCGCCCTCCTCCTCCTCCCTCTCGTCCTCCTCGCCCTCCTCCTCCTCCTCCTCCACATCCTCCTCCTCCTCCTCCTCCTCCTCCTCCTCCTCGCCCTCCTCCTCCTCCTCCTCCCCTCCTCCTCCTCCTCCTCCTCCTCCTCCTCCTCCTCCTCCTCCTCCTCCTCCTCCAGCCCTCCTCCTCGCCCTCCTCCTCCTCCTCCTCCTCGCCCTCCTCCTCCTCCTCCTCCTCCTCCTCCTCCTCCTCCTCCACATCCTCCTCCTCCTCCTCCTCCTCCTCCTCCGAATCTCCGAGGCCCCGCGGCTCTGGAGGATGCGTTGGGGGCCGCGGCCTTCTCCGAGCGTTCCGGAGCGCTCCGAAAGCGTTCCGGAACGCTCCGGTTGGGGAACGCTCTGGGACGGAGTTGTCCTCGCCCTAGCCCAGCCCGACGACAGGCCGGGGCAGCGGGCCGCTCGAGCCAGCGGCTGCGGAACCGATCTGCTGATTGTCCCCCTGCGCGGCGCAGCGAGGCGGGCGCCGAGGAGCTTCGCCATGGGCGCTCCACTCCCGAGCGAAGGTCTGCTCAAGATGGACTTCTGCTTCGCACAAGACGCAACGGGTGACACGACCACATCGCGAATCAAGAGGTCGCCACGGGACGCACAGAGACGTACTAATACTATGTGCACTCCTTGGAGGCGCGCGTCCGACCCGGACATATGGTACACCCATCTTGTAGTACATCGTTTCAAGAGCGGTGTGGCCAGAACGTGCCCGCCACGCCGCGTATGCTAGTAGATTTCTCGTTGCGCGCGTCGCCCCTGGGAGGGCGACGCACACACAGTGCTAGTATGCTAGTATGCTAGTATGCTGGGGCGACGCCGACGCCAGGCAAACAAGGAACAGCGCACAAGCCGACCTGCAATAGGGGCAAATTCGTGCACGGGTCGTGCCCTGGACCACATACCGACGACGCGCATACGACAGGAGGAGGGCAGACGAAGGAAGAGAGGGAAAGGGGAGAGGAGGAGGGAGAGTGGAAGACGAAGGACGAGAGAGAGGGAAAGGGGAGGAGGAGGAGGAGAAGGAGGAGGAGGAGGAGGAGGAGGAGGGGGAAGAAAGGAGGAAGGAAGAGACGAAGGAAGAGAGAGAGAGAGAGGGAAAAGGGGAGAGGAGAGGAGGAGAGGAGGAGGAGGAGGAGGAGGAGGGAGGAGGACGAGGAGGAGAGGAGAGGAAGAGGAGGAGGAGGAGGAGGAGGAGGAGAGGAGGAAGGAAGACAAATGAAGAGAGAGAGGGAGGGGCAATGGGGAGAGGAGGAGGGGGAGCGGGCAGCGCGGCTGCCAAGACGAGCGGCTGCCATGCACAGGGGTGGCGTATGAGAACCTTGCCCACACCAGGAGTGAAAAAAAGGCACTGGCCACGAGGAGGAGGAGGAGGAAGAAGAGGAGGACGAGAAGGAGGGGGAGGGGGAGGAGGAGGAGGAGGAGGAGGAGGAGGAGGAGGAGGAGGAGGAGAGGAGGAGGAAGGAGGAGGAGGCTGGAATCCCAGATTGGCCCCCGAGCGCGCACTCGAAAAAGCGGGCATGACACGAGGGGCGGACGCGCGGACGGCTGCAGCATGCAGGCGGAACAGCTCCACAGGCACCAGGAGACGTGCGCCATGCTACTCGGGAGCCAAACACACACACACACACACACACACATCACCTATGCACAACCATGGTGGCAACCTAAGCGGTCGCCAGAGTGCATTGAACCAGAGCGGCCAATGCCTAAATGATTGATCGACGTCAAGGAGAGGAAGTGGAGGAGGAGGAAGAGGAGGGCAACGAGGAACAAAAACACACAAACCGAGACAGCAAAACTCGCGCACATGGACGGCGCATGCACCGACACTCCCCCTCGCGAATCCATTCGAAACTGATCTGCTATGGTATGAGCCGGGATGCCCCCCCGCAAAGCGGGCCCGAGTCCTCCACAGCTCATGATGAAAATTGTCAGCTTCCCCACGGGAAGCGCCAGTCATGAGGGAGGAGAAAGAGGAAGAAGAGGATAAGCGAGGAGAGACAAACGCGCGTTGCGTGGGCAACCCCGATGGCTCTGCCAGCCACTTCTATGAACACAAAAAGGAGGTAACGCAGGAGGAGGAGGAGGAGGAGGAGGAGGAGGAGGAGACGAGGAGGAGGAGGAGGAGGAGGAAAGACAGCAGACGGGAGGACGAAGAGCGAGGCAGGACAACCGCCAAATGGCGACCGGCACGAGCCCCACTCGAAGCGTGTCGTGCCGAGGCTGCAAGCGCACAGCGTGTAGAACCCCCCACCGCAGAGCCCAAACTACCGCAGAGCCCAAACTCCACGCCGAAGCAACGCAGCGCGCGCAGAGACAGGCCGGCAGAGGACGTACACGGAGCCCCCGGAGAGGCAGTGGCCGGTACAGGGCCACACGGAGCGGCGCGGCCGCGGCCGCCACCGCGTCCGCCGGAGGGGGGGGGGGAAGGGACGGCAGGCGCCCGAAGAACCGAATCGAGATAAGCCGGGTCGGCGATCGAAACGCATCGGACCGGCGGAGATCGGCAGCCGAGCCGGGAAAAGTCGGTTCGGCGGAAATCGGCAGGCTGATATGATGGGCCTGCTTTCCACCACCACCACCACCAGAAGTCGGAGGGGGAAGGGGTCTTCCTCCTCCTCCTCCTCCTCCTCTTCTTCGTCCTCCTCCTCCTCGTCCTCCTCCTTCCCCCGTCCAACTGATGGTGGTGGTGGACGACAGGCCCATCATGGTAGGCCTCCATGCAGAGATCGCAGCCCAGATCGGAAGCCGAAGCCGAACACAGGAGGCGGAAGCGGAAGCCCTCGACACCGAATCTCGGAGCGCACCGGAGGGATCGGAGTGGGCCCCGGGGCGGTGGCCCACACCACGCCGCCGCTCGGCGGGGGAGCGCGCGCCCGGGAGAGCACGCCGCTGGGAAGCAGAAGGGGGCGCCAGAGGCCGCGGCGGGTGTGCCTCGCGTGCCATTCGGGGGGGGGTGGGCGCCGCCTGCCGCAGAATGCAGGACGAGGGGGCGCCCTCGCACGAGCGGAAGGTGCAGATCGCCGTGGCCCGAGCCAACGTTGGCGCAGGGCCTCGCGGCGCGTCGTCCGGCGAGCGGGGGGGTATACAGTGGAGGCCGGTCCACGGGGAAACCTGCCACCAGAGACCCGACCCCGAGATCCCAGGACGTCCATTGATGTTTGGTGTGGGACCGTCACGCCCTCCATCGCAAAGCCATCGAAGCCCGAGAGACCCGGGGCACCCTGGAGGCGAGCAGGGTGTTTCTCGGCATGGGTTTCCACTGTAGGCATTGCCTCAGCCGCCTCAAAGTGGACTCGACGAGGGCCCTACTTCACCTATCAAGTTCGCTGAAGCACGCGGCGGTGTGATGGATGGCCTCGGCGTAGCACCGTCAACAGCCAGTCGAGTACCGGGTCGATAAAGTATAAAAACTGAGTAATACCAAGCAACCTGAACCTCGACATGTTCGCTCGTCAAGCGAATCGAGCCGTCTCCCTGCGACTACCCACCACCCTAGCGCCCACAGCCCGGAGGAGAAGCCAGCAAGCGTCACGCCAAACGGGCCCTCACCGAGTGTGCGCTAGGAGGCCACCACAAGCTTCAAAGAGGTGTGAACCATGGAGTGCCTTGCGGCGGCGGTACGCAACGAAGCGTCAACGATGGGGTCCATATCCTCTGCAACGGCCAGGGGGGAGTAGGCCCTCTTGCTCAGATTGTTCACCGGGCGGCGAGGCTCATGAGGGAGAATCGAAGGCTCCACGAATATCGCACTCCCACCAGCCCTCTGGACTCGGGCTGTTCAACGTGCCAACTATCTTCAGACAATCCTTGACTCCCCTGCGAGGAGGGGCTTACCTTTGGGTCGGGCATGTCCTCCTACAGGCGGGCTTTGGACGAAAAAATTGAAATAGTTGAAACATATGAGAATAACATCAAAACATGTCAAAAATCGTCCAACGATTATTTTGGACTATTCTTGGATATTCCTCAAATAGAGGGACAAGCCCGACTTAAGCTCACCTCTCCTCCATACCCCTTTCCCACGGGCCTGGATTGGGCCGGGGCTCGCGGCTGGTAGGAGCCTCGGGTGGCCCCAGCACTGCCCCAGAGCCCAAGTGGCCGCCAAGATCGCACAAGATGGCCCAACTCTGCCTCGGATGGCCTTCATCATGCCTCACCCCCCGAAACAAAAAGACGACAGCAAGATTGCTCGAGGTGACCACAGAGCTCTCCGAGAGGCAACACACATCAATTCGTGCTCGAGCGGCTCTCCCGCTCACCATTTCGCTTCCGATGCGCTTCTGAGGCCTCATATTGTCGTTCGATGGGGCACTAACGCCGAAACGGGCCAGCTGGGCCCCCCACGGGTACCACGAGGAGAGTCCCAAGACAAGAGAGCCCCAAGGCGAGAGGGCTCCCCCAAACGATCGATTTCCTGGGGTCAAGGAGTTGCTACTAATACCCCTCTTTTTCTTCAAACGGTTAGTCTCTAGGATAGCCCCGAAAGGGTCCAAAAGGGCTCCGAGAGACCCCCGGAACGGACCAGAAAGGGCTCCATCATTCCCCACGGGGGTATAAACGAATCGGCTGCCGCCCCCAGCCTCACAAGGCGGCCCACCATGTGAGCGGCTGGGTTTTTGCAGAGGGGGCTGTCCAAGTCGGCCCAGGGCCAAAGGGTCGTGGACACGGCGCGCCCGCGAGCAGCAATGACTATCTGGCCGCATTTCCGCCCCGCCCCGGCCCCGGAGCCATCAGGCGCCAACGCCCCAGAAACGGCCAGCATCATAGGGAACCAACTGATCAAACTTGTCTTTGGGGATACCTCGTCAATCCAGCTACCCTGAGAGACAGCATTAGACCCACCGCGATCCAAGAGACTACGGCTGCGAACTCCACAACAGGCCAATCTGCCCGAGAAGGACATGGGACCAAAGGAGGAGGCAGAAGGGGGGAGGAGGTCGGGAGCGAGGAAAAACGACGGAGGAGGGAGGAAGGACGAGGGAGGGAGGAGAGGGGACGGATGAGACGGGGACGTGATGGATGCAGGAGGGGGGGGAGGCATCCACGCACGATTCGCCCCCCCTGAGCCCTCTTTGAGCCGTCCCGGGCCCTCTCTCCTCTGCACGCGAGCTCGCGCCGAACGCCCCTGCTGCGGAGCACCACGGCAGGCGCCCTGCTTTTTGCGACGCGTCGCCCCGACGCCGCCGGACGCCCGCTGCTCGCCCGCGGGCGCCCTCCGCGCCGGCCTCACCGCGCAGACCCCAACGGTGAGACAGGGGCGCCCCCCTCTTCGCCCCGGCAAGCTGGGGTCGGCTGACTCGTTTTTCCTCAAGCCCACCCCCCCCAATCCCTCCCTGCCCTCCGTCCCGTCCCCGTCCCCCTCCCCATCCCCATCACCATCCCTGTCCTCCTCCCCCTCCATCCTCCGTCCTCCCTCCCCCGTTCCCCGGCACCCGCGTCTTCTCGCACACGGTGTCCTTCTCGCGCACGGTGCCGTGGTGCGTCCGCTCCCCGTGCATCCCTCCACCTCGCCATCCGCATCCCGCCCCTTGGCTCAAGTCGGGCCTGTCCCCCTACAGGCGGATTTTGCACGACACATAACAAAGAGCAGAACATTCTCAAGAATAGCCCAAAATAGCTAAAGCATCTGTAATCAAACAAGAATAGAAAACTCGTCCCAAAACATGTTTGATTCCCTACCTAGGCTCTGCCTAGAAGGGTTCTTACTCTCTTAGCTTAAAGGGGCCGGGCAGTGGAACACGCCCCGGGCGGTTCCCCCAGTCCCCTGGGAGCGGTTCCCCCCAGTCCCCTGGGAGCTTTAGCTTCAGCTTTAGCTTTAGCTTAGCTTTAGCTTAGCTTTAGCTTAGCTGTAACTTAGCTTTAGCTTAGCGTTTCGCGTAGCTTTTCGCTTAGCGTTTAGCTTAGCGTTAGCTTAGATGTAGCTTAGATTGAGCTTAGCTGTAGCTTAGCTTTAGCTTAGATTTAGCTTACCTTTAGCTTAGCTTTAGCTTAGCTTTAGCTTAGCTTTAGCTTAGCTTTAGCTTAGCTTTAGCATAGCTGCAGCTTAGCTTTAGCTTAGCTGTTGCTCAGCTTTAGCTTAGCTTTAGCTTAGCTTTAGCTTAGCTTTAGCTTAGCTTTAGCTTAGCTTTAGCTTAGCTTTAGCTTAGCTTTAGCTTAGCTTTAGCTTAGTTACTGTTACTACTAATGCTGCTTTCCTAGGGGTTCCAACTCCCAGGTAGGGTCGCACTGGGATAATTATTTTTGAATACTCCTCCTATGGAGGGACGTGCCCGACCGAACGCTAGGCTCCAACGTGCAGGAGCAGATCTGGCAACAGCCAAGATAGCCCTGGACGGCCGCAGACTCCCCGAAAGGGCCCCAAGAGGACCCTCAAAAGAGGGCCTCAAAAGAGCACAGGTCCTACATCCTCAGCGTGCTCGCCCTTTCGGAATTCCGACCTTCGGAGACGGCCCACGAAACCCTCAAGATTGCCCCGAGACGGCCCACGAGCCACCAGACGGCCCAAGTGGGCCCCAAGGCGGCCAAAGATTTGGAAGACGGTCCAGGAGGGCCCCAAGAGGGCCCCAAGAGAGCCCCAAGAGGGGAAGCACGGACCGACATTCCGAGCCCTCCGCCGCACGATGACGAGACGACGATGCGGACGCGCCGCTCTCTCCAGACAACAAGGGACTCGAACCTCCGCTGCACCAGCCTCCCGGTGAGCCCCAAGCTTGAAGGGGCCCTGGGACATGCAAACAAATACACACACACAAATAACAGGAGTCCCCATATTTTTCCGCATTTTTGTTGCTTTTCGTCTTCCCCCCCACTTCCCATATTTTCCTACATTTTCCTGGGGATCGACGATTCATTGTGTCTGTGTGTTTTTTCCCCTCCTGAAAGCTCCACGGCACCGATCACCGAGCCCATGGAGAGATCGCGCCGGCCCGCTGGGTGCACCCGCCCAGGGGCCCACGGCGCTCGGGCCAACACACGCGCGCCCATGGCGCGGCCCCCGCGGGCAGTGCCCACCCAGGCGCCCGCAGACTCGGCCACGAGGCCTTCGGGTAGCGCTAGGGGTAGGCCCTAGGGGTAGCCCTAGGGTAGCCCTAGGGGTAGGCCCTAGGGTAGCTCTGGGGTAGCCCTAGAGGTAGGCCCTAGGGGTAGCCCTTGGGGTAGGCCCCAGGGGTAGGCCCTAGGGGTAGTCCTGGGGTAGCCCTAGAGGTAGGCCCTAGGGGTAGCCCTAGGGGTAAGCCCTAGGGGTAGCCCCTGGGGGTAGCCCTTCCTTGGGTGATCTATAGGCTTCGGCAGGCTGCGACCAGGTGCTGCCGGGGGACCCCTCGTGCGGCGGCGAGCTCCCCGGCTCGAGCGGCGGGGCGCCTGCCATTGGGGCGCCGCCGCAGCTGGCGCGCAGGACGCTGCCATATGATGGAGCACGCCCGCGGGGCGCCTCGGGTGGGCCACTCGTGCGGGCAGCAGCCGGGCACGCACTGCTCCGATGGATGCGTGAGCTCTTGGGTGCTACGCACGCCGCGAGCGTTGTGACGAACTTGGATGGCGGGATCGTCCTTGACGGGCCGCGGTCACAAAGGGTGAGCACCTTCCTGAACGACGACACGGCCAACAACATGTACTCTGAGAGTGGCAGCATGGGTGGCAATACCAGGCCTCCAATGCCGAAACGAATGCTCTGAAAATGTTGGTTCGCGAGCTCGGTGTGCCTGCGGCTCGCGCCAACGCAGCCAAACCAGGGAAAGCGCGACTACAATCGTGCTCTGGGCTGTATGCAATGATATTGCTTACGAGATGTCCGACGACGGAGGCATTGGAATTGGAGAATGTGTAGTGGATTTAACTGTACGAAGGCGCCTGGCCATTGCGGTTGTGATGGATGGTGTGGATGTTCGCGGTCATGCGCGACCACGTCACAACCTGGGAGCGCGCTGCAGCGCCCGACAGTCTGGTATGCTGGCTGCGTGGCGACGGGACTACACAGAAGCAGGGGGCGCAGGTGCAGTTCCACGGAGGAACGTGGAGCGCATGTTGCGGGGCACGCTCATCCCCGTCCCCGTGTAGAGGGCAGAAAATCCACCCCCATAATAATCACCCCGACAAGCGAAGCCGTTTAGTAAACACACCCAAGGAAGGAATCCAACAGGGCAGGGCTTTTAATAAACGCGCCAATTGTCCGGTCCGGGTGGTTTTTCCTCCCTTGACCGCGGGCGATACCAGGCGACTGGACATCATCGTCCCAAAACTGCGTGTCGCACGGGGGCGCTCCTCCTTCTGCGACGCCACTGTCGCAGCACCGATCCGTTTTCTCGCACATGAGGCAGGCCGAGGCCAGGGCGCAAGAAGCGGAGGCGGACGACTCCTCGAAGACTGCGGGCGGAGAAGCAGTAACGACTGCCACGAGGGGACGACTTCGGGCCAGGGGGCGCTGTGCTGTCTATGGCGAACAAAACACCACACACCATACCCACACCCACAGGGGGGGTCGGAGAGGGCCGTGGGTGCGTGCTGTCGGATGGGGGCACCCGCTCGAGCGGGAGCGTTCCCCAGGGTCCGACAATCCGCACCCATACCCATAGCCAGTCCTCCTCCCAGCGACCCCCCTACCGTCGGGGCGTTGACCTAAGGAACTCCAAATAAGGAACGAGGCCACTTTCTCCCATAAGTTAAACTCCGATTTCCCATGGGAAACCTCAGGAAAATCGAAGGCAAACTGCAGAACAATCAAGGAACACGGAGCCCCTCCCCAACGAAAACGGTTCCTTCTTCAGGGCCCCGACTGTATGGGTATGGGCGTGTGCTGTTCGTTCGCCAGTCCCGATGCCGACGTGCACGGGCGATGGGGCGCCCAGTGCACAGAGAGCTCGTGCCAGCGCCGGCCCGCGGGCGGGCCCAGGGTCTGCGCGCTCGGACCCGCCGCGGCTCGGCGCTCGGCTGGCAGCAGCGGTGGCGGAAGCACAGCGGAGAGCGTGGCTCGGAGTGTGCGGAGTGACTTGTGCAGCCTTGCCGCGAGGATTGCGCGGGCCAGCCATTCGTTTGACTGGCTTGCACATGCCTTGGGCAGGTCAGTTCTCCCTTCTCCTCATCACCCTCCTCCTACTCCTTCTCGTCCTCCCCCTCCTCCCTCCTCCCTCTCCTCCTCCTCCTCCTCCTCCTCCTCCTCCCCCTCCTCCTGCTCGTCCTCCTTCTCCTCCTCCTCCTCCTGCTCCTCCTGCTCCTCCTCCTCCTACTCTCCCTTCTCCTCTGACATTGCTCAGAGTGCTGCTGCGGCGTCTGCGGTTCACCTCCATGTAGCGTCGTGTTCACTCGGTGGTTGTCACTCTCTTGGGTTTGATGCGCTGGAGAGAACATGATCGACCCACGAACCGGGAAAGGAATATAGAAATGTAAGGCGTGGCAACGCTTCAAAGGCACCTGATTGGGCGACGGCCAAATGCAGTGCTGACTGTATCGATCTTGATGTACCGTGCTGAGCGCTGTGCTGTGCTGCACCGTGCTGAATTGCGATGTGCCATGCCGCGAATTGTGCTCTATAGCGTTGTGGATCGAGTCCTCTTTTGCATCCGAGTCCTGATCGAACTGATCTGGATCTTAAGCTCGAGGTGCCTGGGCTCATAGTAGCTGCCCCAGAGCTAATCGACAGGGGGACATGCCAGGAGGACGCGCCGCGGAACGTCCCAAGGGACGCGCCAGGCGACATGCCAGGGGATGAGCCATGGGGACGCACCGCGGAACATGCCAAGGGGACGCGCTGCCGAACGTTCCAAAGGACGTGCCGTGGGACGTACCAGGGGACTCGCCGGGCGACGTGCCAGGGGGGGCTCGCCACGGGACGCGCCACGGAACGTGCCAGGGAACGCGCCAGGTTGCAATGCTGAGGTATCGATCTCGATGTACAGTGCCGAAGGCTGTGCTGTTGTGCGCCGTGCTAAATTGCGATGCGCCATGCCGCGATTGTGCTCTATAGCGTTGTGGATCGGGTCCTCCTCTGCATCCGAGGTCTGACCTAACTGATCTGGATCTTAAACTCGAGCTGCCTGAGCACATAGTAGCTGCCCCAGAGCTAATCGACAGGGGGACATGCCAGGAGGACGTGCCGCGGAACGTCCCAAGGGACGCGCCAGGCGACGTGCCAGGGGACGTGCCATGGGGACGCACCGCGGGACGAGCCGAGGGGACACGCTACGGAACGTGCCAATGGACGTGCCACAGGACGTGCCAGGGGACGCATCGCGCAACGCCAGGGGGACTCGCCACGGGACGAACGTGCCAGGGAACGTGCCAAGTTGCAATGCTGAGTGTATCGATCTCGATGTACTGTGCCGAGGGCTGTGCTGTGCCTGGGCGATTTGGACACTGAGAACAAGCGTTTCGCTCAAGACATTCTCGACACATCCTCATGCCAGACCTGGACACGTGCAAACAAGCGTCTCGCTCAAGACATCCTCAACAAATCCTCATGCTAGACATCTGTCTGGGCAACCTGGATGCGTGAAACCAAGCGTCTCGCTCACATCCTCAAGACCTGGGCACGTGAACACAAGCATTTCACTTGAGAGATCCTCTGCAGTCTGGGGCCCAGGAGAGGACAATCTAGAGCAAGCGTTTCGCCCGAGACGTCCTCAACAAGTTCTGCAAAACAAGCGTTTCGCTCGGGACATCCTCAAGTTCGATTCGCTGGCCCTCTTCGACCTCGTCAATGATGATAAGAAATTCGCCGACCCTCTTCGAACTTGGCACCAGGGACGGGTTTACCCACTGAAAAAGAACCCTAGGCCTACGCCCTTTCTGGAGACGAATTGAACGGACGAATTGACGGACGAATTTCAAACGGACATGAACAGCGGACGAAGCGGACAAGACGAATCGAACAGAACGACCCGAACTGGACGAACTGAACCAAACAAACTGAAAGCGGACGATTTGAAAACGGGCGAATTGAAACCGGGCGAATTGAAAACGGACGAATTGAAACCGGACGAATTCAAACTGGACGAGCTGGACAGCGGACGAGATGAAACTGGACAACATGAGCAGCGGACGAATTGACGGACAACTTGAAACCAGACAACAAGAACAGCAGACGGCTCGAAGAGGACGAAATGATCATCGGACGAAATGATGGGGAGTCCTCCACGAGGGGAACCTCGAGAAGTCCCCCAGAGCATCGTAAACCTTCCCGTCGTCCTCGTCCTCCCCCTCCACCTCCTCCTTCTCACTCTCACCGTCGTCGTCGTCGTCGTAGTCGTCGTCGTCGTCGTCCCTGTCAGCTTCTTCCTGATCCTTCTCCCTCATCCTCAGAGGTCGGCAGAATGCTGGAGGCCTGGATATGGACACCAACGCCAAGACCAACATAGGATGTTGCCTCCGCAGGGGTAAGACAATCCTAGATCTCGGTGGTGGTGGTCATATGTCGGTCACCCTGGAAGTCAGGACTATAACTATATATATATATATACACTAATATACTGATATATATATATATACATATATTAATCACCATCACCGAGGTCGGGACCCTCCTCCCTCGGTGGAGGCACGCCGCTGAGATTGGTGTTGGTGCCAGCCTCCAGGCCTGCGATTCGCATGGCGCACGCCTCGAACAGAAACCCATACGCACAGGGATTCGGACGCCCGACATGGGTACGGAAAGAATGGGCACAATGCCCAACAACAACTGCTGTCCCAAATCAGCAGCGGCCGCTGTTGGGCAGGCGGCCTTCTGTCTCGAATGGACACAGGCTGCGGCGGCGTGGACAGCGAGTCCTGTTCAAAATCAACAGGAATTGCTGTTGGGCAGTGTACCCATTCTTTCCGTGCCCACTTTGTTCGTGCAGAAGGGAAGAGGAGCGCGCCCTGCCGGGCGGCGTGCGGCCGCACGTGCCTGCCGGTGCCCCCCCATCACGCACCGGCCGCACGCAGGCTCTCGGCCTGCACCGGAAGCAGCACCAGGAAGGCGGGCCTGTCGGCCCAACCCGCTTCTCGTGCGCCTCCCCCGTGGCCTCCTGCTCCTCCCTCCTCCCCCTCCTCGCTCCTCCCCCTGCCTCCCTCCCTCCTCCTCCTGCCTCCTCCCCCGATCCTCCTCTGCCTTCCGCCGCCCTGTCCTCCACCCCCGTGCAGACGGGCCTGTCGGACCTTCCGAGAGCGAGGCTGTCACCCTGGTTCAGCTGCACGCGCTGGGGCAACAACGCGCCCTTCGGCACGCGCGTGTCGTTGATCCACGTGCCGTTTGTGCTCAAGTCCTGCAGCGCCCCCCTCTCCCCCTGGCTCCTCCGCCTCCTCCACTCCCCCTCATCGTGTCGCTCAGCGTCCTGCAGGACGGGATAAGCCGGTTGTGGCCAGTCTCTGTTTTCTGAGAGGGACCGTTCTCGATCCTCTCAGTCTGTCGCCTGCGGATTTTGCGCAATTCCTCCAGCTCCCCCCTCCACGCCAGCCCTCTCCGCCTGGTCTCCCCCCTCTCTTCCTTCTCCACAAGCTAAATCGGCGCTTCAAGGGCAAGTCCTCCGTATCCCCTCGTCCTCCTCCTCGTCCTCCTCCTCCTCCTCCTCCTCCTCCTCCTCCTCCTCCTCCTCCTCCTCCTCCTCCTCCTCCTCCTCCTCCTCCTCCTCATCCTTCTCCTCCTCCTCCATATTCTCCTCGCCCTCCTCCTCCTCCTCCTCCTCATTTTCCTCCTCCCCTTCCTCCTCCTCCTCCTCCTTCTCCTCCTCCTCCTCCTCCTGATCCTCCCCTTGCCACCCGCAGTTTTACGATCAAGTCCTCCAGCTCTACAGAGCCATCGCTGCCGCAGAACAGCAAACAGTGCCGACCGCTGACCTCGGTGTCTGTACGACTTGTAACGTATGCCAGGGGAGCAGGGATGAGGGGGAGAGTGGAGCAGGGGTGATGGGCAGGCAGGAGGAAGAATAGGAGGAGAAGTGGGAGGAGGACCAAAAGGGGCACAGGATAAGTGGGAGGAGGATAGGAAGGATATAGCCGGTGCTTGCCCGATCTTGTGTGCAATGGTCTTTGCGACCAAACGATCACTAACAAGATTGACGGTGCTGCCAATGGGCGAACCCGTGGAACGCAATCCAGAAGCCTCCGCCAGACTCCACGCCGATCCACGCACTATAACTTTCGTTCAGACTCCCATGATACTTCAGTGCGCGCGCAACGTCAAACAACAATGCGAGACTCACGAGACCAGAAGCTCGTAGCAGTCTGTGCTCGATTGCTATTGCCATGAATGCGGTGATGTTGCCCGCCACCGTGCTTCCAGCAGTTGGTATGTGTGTGCGTGTGTGTGTGTCTGCCTGTCTGTCTGACTGACTGACAGACTAACTGACTGACTGTCTGCCTGCCTGCCTGTCTGTCCGTCGGTCTGACTGACTGACTGACTGTCTGTCTGTCTGCCTGTCTGTCTGTCTCTGCCTGCTTGCATGTCTGCAAATGTGCCTGTGTGTTTGTCTGTCTGCTTGCCTGCCTGTCTGTTGTTTCTGTGTGTGTGTGCGGTGTGTGTGTGTGTGGTGTGTGTATGTGTATGTGTGTATGTGTGTGTGTGTGTGGGTGTGGGTGTGGGTGTGGGTGTGGGTGTGGGTGTGGGTGTGGGTGTGTGTGGGTGTGTGTGTGTGTGTCTGTCTGTCTGTCTGTCTGTCTGTCTGTCTGTATCTGTATCTGTATCTGTATCTGTATCTGTATCTGTATCTGTATCTGTATCTGTATCTGTATCTGTATCTGTCTGTCTGTCTGTCTGTCTGTCTGTCTGTCTGTCTGTCCGTGTGTGTGTGTGCCTGCGTGCGTGTGTGTGTGTATGCGTGTGTGTGTGTGTGTGTGTGTGTGTGTGTGTGTGTGTGTGTGTGTGTGTGTGTGTGTGTGTGTGTGTGTGTGTCGGGTCACTGCTTGTCTCATCAGCTACGCTCCTTGAGAAGCAATGCCCCCGCCCCCCCAAACAAAAAAAACACATCGACCCCAACGGGCTCTCATGTGTTCGACCAAGTCGTTGCACGTATGCCCCTCAATGATAGACGCTACGAAGTAAGATTCGCCTAGCCAAGGACCACACCATGTGCAGCTGCGAATACAGCATGACAGGTAAAAACAAAGGGAGGGGGCAAGTAACAGGGCTAAGGCGTGCGTGAGAAAGGCGGAGCGACGTCGCTGATGGGGCCACAGGGGGCAACCGCAACGGGTTACACCTGGATGTAATTCGTCACGGCTGATCCGAGCGTCTGTCGGCCCTTTTCCAACAACAAAAGCAGGGAGCGGTCTGGGAAGCAACAGGTGGCGGGGCCTCTGGTGGAGCTCCAATAGGGTCACGAAGCGTGCAAAGGTGTGCCAACATGGGCGCGGTCACGCATTCGATTCCTGCCGATGGGGCATTCGGCGGAGCCCCCCAAGGGGGCAGCGGTGCGCCGAAATCGGGCGGCGGCGCCATACGGACGAAACCATTTGGGCCTTAGGTGGAGCTGCCTGTGCGCCAAAGTAAGGTGTGTGTGTGTCTCTCGTGAGCCTAGATGGTTGCCCCATGTTGGCTGGTGTTGCGTTCACCTGCCTCGCCAGTAGCCCTTCGCGGATCTGATTGCGGTTGGGGTGTGCTGTTTTAAAAGCTGGCCTCTGCACTGCATGCGTGGCCATGCTTGCGCCTGTCCACCACCCATGTGCGCCGCCGCGTTTTGCGCCTGCTGCTCGTGGTCGCCCGCGTTCAGCTCTATGTTGTTGTTGTCCAAGGCTAAACTAGCCTCGGCCGCGTGATTATCTTTCTCACACCGATGTGATGCACCCTGCTGCACGGTCGCTCAATCTGCTACTTGCTCGCTGCAAGGTCGGTGGCGTTGCTTTGTTGCGGGCTGTGAGCCCGAGCGGGGCTGAGAGTGCTGGCTCTGCTCTGGTCCACGGCCGGCCGCTGGGCGGCTACTGAGGGTCCTGCCTGCGTATCCGTTGCGCTTGGGCCTGGAAATCCTCCGGTAGCGTGCAAGTTGCGTGCGTCCGTCCCGGAGGGGGCAGCGCCGATTTTGTTGTGGTTGGGCCGCTGCCGCCTCCCTCCCGTCCTCGGGTCGTACCCGGCTAACGGAGCAGTGTGCATGTCACGGATGTTGATGGACTCCAGGTAGCCGAGAAGCAACTCCCAGCTGTAGAGGCTGGAAGCGCGTCCCTTGTCCTTCGCGTGCTGATCTTGTTTCTGCCTGTAGCCATCCCACCGAACGGCCATGTTGTGGTCATCTGCGGTGGCGGGCTGGTACCTTTGGGTGTGTAGGTAGCTGATGAGGTGGGCCAGTGCGGCGTGCTTCCCGTCCCACTCCGTGCCCCTGGGGATCCCTGACTCCGGGACGGTGGTGCCAGAGATGCTAGAAAGCAAAACTCCTTGCAGAGGGGGTCCACGCTCGGGGGTCCTGTGGGATCCCCTGGCGGGTGAGTGCCTCGTCGCGCCTCCGTGCACACATACATACACACATGCATACATGCATACATACATACATACATACATACAAACATACATACATACATACATACATACATACAGGCATACAGACATACAGACATACAGAAACACAGACATACAGACATACAGACATACAGACATACAGACACACAGACATACAGACATACAGACATACAGACATACAGACATACAGACATAAAGACATACAGACATACAGACGTACATACATGCAGACATGCAGGCATGCAGACATACATACATACACACCTACATGCATGCATACATCAATACATCCATGCATGCATGCATGCCTGCATGCATGAATACGTGCACACATACACATATACATACGCATACAACCATAATTAACAATATACTTGCGTGTATTACATACATACGAGCATGCACACATGCATGAATGCACACACCTAGCTACATACATACATGTGTATATGCATACATCCACACGTACACACATACATGCATACATACACATACATACATGCATGCATACATACACCCGTATATACACACAAGCATACGCACATACCTACATCCATACATACATGCATACATGCATGCATACATGCATATATTCATGCATGCATGCATGAATGTACGCATACCCACGTACATGCACACGTGCATGCATACACGTATCCATACACACATACATACGTACGCACATGCATGCATACGTATATACATTCAGGCATGCATAAACAAATGTCTATACGCATGCAATCATACATACACACACGCGTACATGCATACATACATGTATACTTACAAACGTACGTACATACATACACACATACATACATACACACATACACAACTACATGCATGCATGCATGCATACAAACAAACACACATGCATGCATCCATACATACATGCATACACACATGCAAACATGCAAGCATTAATGCATGCGTGTATGCATGCATGCATGCATCCATACATGCCCATACACACATATACACATGGGCGTGTGTACGGCTTGCTCTGGCAACCCTGGGTGCCAAACAAGTGTCATCTCTTGGAAGGAACGAATGTTGCTTCCGCTGGCCCCCGCCAGCGAGTCGCCCCCGTTTTACTCCCGCCGCGTCCCGCCGGTCTTGAGCTTGGTCGACCCAAAAGGGGGTCCAGCTGAAACGGGGTGGTGCAATAGAGTTGGGGCAATTGTATTGCAAACGTATTGCCCCTAAGAATTGTATCGCATTGGTATTGCAACGAATGTAGTGCACGCGAAAACCCAGCAATACATTTGCGCACCGGAATGTATTGCACGCCCCAGATCTATTGCAGCCCTACAAATCTATTGCACCAAATCTATTGCACCAACCCCTTGTCGCTGGACACCCAGTTGGGTCAACCCGATTGAGGTCAACATCTCCACACCTTCTTGCAGCGCCCCATGCCGTTAAGCCGCCAGCCCAAGGCGAGTCGACGAGAACTTCGCAGTCGCCCTTCCGGCCGACTGTAGTGATCCTGGTCGGGATCAGGTCGTGCCTCTTGCCGCTCGTTAGGTCCACCAGCCGGGGCGCCCCGGCACCTGCGCCCGACTCGCGGACGGCCTCGGTGGCAAGCCGCTGCAGTCAACCAGCATAGCAAGGATGCGCGATAAGGATGCAGGGGCCTTGGACGCCCATTTCGAAGCGCTTCGAGCGGGGCGCGGCAAGCGAAAGCGGCGAAGGATGGACCGAGGAGGCGAGAATGCAAGGGTACCTTTTGGGAAGGCTGCCCATCCTTACCATCATGCTTGACTCCAGCCCCAGGCAGGAGCGGCGAAGGAGCTGGGCTGCCCACGGGGCAACCGCGGGAGGGAAACCTATAGGGAGAGCCTCCCCGTCGACTGCTCCCAGTCCTGGGCGTCAGAGGTGCAAATAGCGAGAACGGCAGAGATGGCGGGCGGTGGCCTGGGGAGGTGTAGCGAACTGCAGGGGCGTGGACTGCGAGAGAATGGGCGGGGATAGGCGAGACAGGGCAGCGCAAGGTGTGGAGGGCAGGGGGGGGGAGGGGGGAGGCAGGGGATCACGAAGGGCAGGACCGGACGCGGCAGGAGGCCATGCCCGCGTAGGTTGCCTCGGGAAGCCCCGCTTGTGGACCGAGACGGCGGCCGCGCCCCTGGCCCGAAAATGGACGCCCTCCTCGCTTCGCCCGAACCAGTAGCTGCTCGTCAGGGCTTCGCTTCTCATGGCACGTAGCGCGGCGGCTCCGCCGAGGTCTCGCCCGGCGGGCGCCTCGTGAGGGCGCCTCGTGCGCAGGCTGGATCCGCCGAGGCTCCGCCCTGGCAGGGGGCCGCGGGGCGCCCGCGCGGGGCCCGCTGTGGGCTGCAGCCGTCTGGGGTCCGAGCTGGCAGGCTGTCGCCCGGCGGGCGCCCGTGTGCGCCTTCGCCGGGTGGGCGCCCGTGCACGCCTCGTGTTGGCTGGGGGTCAGCTGTGTTCGGCTGGGGGAGCGCCCGTGGGCGACTCGTGGGCGCCTCGCGCCGGCAAGCTCGGGGCGTCGCCTGGCGGGAGCAGGTCGGTGCCTCGTGGTCGCCTCGCGCTGGTTGGGGGTCCCTGGCGTTTGCCCAATGGGGCGCTCGTGGGCGCCGCGTGTTGGAAAAGGGTTCCTGCGTTTTGTCTGGTGGGCGCCGGCAGGCGCCCCCGTGGGTTTTCGGCTTCTGGGCGCCAGCAGGCGCACCGCACATCCTGCACCGCACCACAGAGCTTGCCCCGCATGGACTGCGCCACATAAACTTGCAACACGTAGTTGGTACCACACAGCGTGCACAGCATGGCTTGCACCACTGAGTGTGCATCACATAGCTTGCACCATATGCACTCCATGACGTAGGTCGCACCGTATCCACGGCACGCCAAACACTTGCCCCACACACGCAGGCAAAAATGTATACATATATATATATATACATATATGTGCATTCACAAACATAGAATGGCTCGCATCACCTAGCTTGCACGACAAAACTGGCATCGCATAGCTTGCGCCACATAGCCCAGTACCACGTAAATTGCATCACGTAGCTTGTGTCACATAGCTTGCACCCTATAGGTTGCATCAGGGGGGGTGTGCCATACATAGTGAATCACAGAACTTACACCACACGGCTTGCACCACATATGCTGCAGCACAAATCTTACACGTGCAGGGAGCAAACACTCACTGCTTGGGGTCAACGTTGGCGAAAAAACGTAACAAGTAGGACGGGGCTCCCGCCTGCCGACGTGTTATCATCCAATTGTTTGGCACCGCTCCGCTACACAGGTCCATCCAGACACGGTTAGAGCACACTGGGATTGCGTGGGACTTTACCCCTGCCCCCAACCCTCACCAACCCCTTGGCCACAGTCTGATTGTGGATCCCCCAGCGCTGGCGAAGATCTTCTTGTTGCACATACGTAAATTCAAATGGGCCGTGGGGTGGGAAGCAATGTGCGCCATCCTTTCCTTTCGCATTCCATTAGCACCCGCGAGTCCGAGCGCCGGCGCGAACTACTCTGGTGCTGGCCCCTGGTCGCTACGACTCAATGCTGCTGCCCACAGCGTGGGCGCGCCGCTCTGAGTCTAGGGTCGCCCATGAAGCTATATGTTTATCTCTGGCGTCAGAGCTGTTTAAGGCAAGCTAAGACGGCTTTCATGATCTCGCCAATGGGTGGATGACGTGTCGAAGCGCGCCGACAGATCGCACAGTGTTGCGGTTCCAGGAAGTTGCCAGCATCGGGGGCAAGATTGGGATCGGTAGCAATACGAGCAATTACGGTCGACGATCGACGCCCAGGAGTCCATACCGCCTGAAATCCCGCATCCTTCCAGCACTCAAGCTGGCGCTGGTACGAGGTTGCAAACGCCGTGCTGTGTTCAGAGGCTCGGCGGCGTCATGTCCGTCGAAATTGCTGTTTCGCGCGGGCACCTGGACCCCTCTCAAAATAACTACGGCAGGTTCGTGTCGTGCCGACCCTGGCGTTGCTTCCTGACACCGCGGGGATCGTTCAGCCTTGAACGATCGGGCGTTTCCGACACGTCCAAATCGTTCCACATCGAACGATTTTGGGTCGCCCGAGGCGTTCAACGTTGAACGCCGCTGGCGGGGTCGCCGCCGGTCGACACGACGCGAACCTACCGTGTACAGCATGCCCCGCTTCGTGCCGCTGGTGGGCACCCACAGCAGATGCCCTTCCTCGGGGCCCTCGACGGGGCGGGCCTCGGCCACTGCGGCCGCGACGTCCTCGACGCACGTCCCGCTGCCCGGCTCGCCCGCCGAGGGGTCCGCGCACTCGGCGTCTGCGGCGCGATCCCCCGCCTTCGCCGGGAGGCGTCGCGGGCGACGATCGCTCCCCAACGCCCCCCCTCCCCTTCCCGAAGAAGGGAGCTGGGGAGATGGCGGGGGGGGGGAAGGAGGGGAGAGGAGAAGGAGATGGGAGGAGGCCGAAGCGGAGGAACATGAGCAGGAGGAGGTGCGGAGGCTCTCCTTCACATTCCTCTCCCCATCTTGCCCTCGCCCTCTGTCTTTCGCTCCGCCCTCTACATTCGTCTCCTCCGCCCCCTCATGTTCACGATCCTCCTTCTCCTCCTCCTCCTCCTTCTTCTGTTTATTATTCGTATCATGTGTGTTATTACGATTCGCCTTGATATTATTAGTGTTATTCGTAATAGTATGAACATTTCGATTCGTGTTATTATTCTTCTAAGTACTATTACCCTTCATAATAAGAGTAGTAATCATAGTATGCGTGTTATTATTCGTCTTGGAATTATTATTAGTACTCATGTTCGTATGGTTCGTCTTATTCGTATTATTACGATTCGCCTATTATGCTTAATCCAATCATGATTCGTATCATTACCTTTGACTTTTTCTCCCAATTCTGAGTTTCAGTCCTAGCATTATTCTTCTTAATGTTATTATCCGCGCTCGTCTTCTCATTATTCTTATACTTATGATTGTTATCCTCCTCCTCCTCCTCCTCATTATCATTATCCTCCTCCTCCTCCTCCTCCTCCTCCCTTCGTCCGTCTCCACGTTGCCATCGTCCCCTCCTCGTCCTCCGACTTGCGTCTCGGGCTTCCCCTGCCACCCCTCACAAGAGTCACCACGTCGGCATCGACCCATCGGAGGATAAAAAAAGGTCGGCGGGACTTTTTGCCACGAGAGGGCGGTGACGGCGCCAGGAGGGGGCAGCGCAGGAGGGGGAGGAGGAGGAGGAGGAGGAGGAGGAGGAGGAGGAGGAGGAGGAGGAGGAGGAGGAGGAGGAGAGCATGGGACGCTGACGGCGTGGCCTGCGCCGACGGGTGCGGCACGGCACCGTGGGCGCGCCTCGGCCCTGTGCTCCCAGTGCCGCGCTGAGCGGGCAGGGCCGCCGAGCGCAGGCGGCGCTTGGGTCGAGCACTGCGGCGGTCTGAAGAACGCCCCCGTGCAGGACGAGGCCGCGGGGCGGCACCCCCTCCCCGGAGAGGCTCCATGTTCGGAGCCTCCTCGTGCAAGGGAGGACTCCAGCCCACGAGCTGCTGTCGGGTCGGGCATCCCCTCCCCGGAGAGGCCCCATGTTCGGAGCCTCCTCGTGCAAGGGAGGACTCCAGCCCATGAGCTGCTGTCGGGTCGGGCACCCCCTCCCCGGGAGGCCCCATGATCGGAGCCTCCTCAGTGCAAGGGAGGACTCCAGCCCATGAGCCGCTGTCGGGTCGGGCCGCGGCCCGCACTCCTCGTCACTGGCAGGGGCGCCCGTGTCGCGTGGTCGGCGACGGAAACCAAGCACTTGCCTAAGCAACTCCCCTTTTATGCCCCTGTCGGTCCTCAGTATAAAATGGGCTGTGTCAGAAGGTAGCAAGCGGCTGGTACACTTCATCAGCGAATGTGTCATTCATCTTCTCCAGGTCTCTGGGGCTCTTCACGACATTAAAATCAGCCAGTCGGTTGTGGCATAACCGCTCCACTTCGTCGATCAATTCCTGTCTTCGGAGTCCTTGTTGCAGACAACCATACAGTGTTTCGCGATGCGGTCGTGGAGCTCGCTCAGGAAGCGGTCGAACAGAGAGTGCCATCCTCACCGTGAGCTGAACAGGGCGGTGGTCTCGAACTTCACTCGTGTCATGTAGTTGTAGACGACGCCCAGCAGCACACATCACACAACACCGTTCCATACAACCTTTCATCTCCACTGGTATGCACGTGTGGACCATGAAACTCGAACTCACATTTCCCACATGACTAGCAGGGTTCATGTAGTGAGTACTTGATGCAGCAAGTCCCCACTCGCTTAGACACGGCCTGATCATCTTGCTTGCGTGGCTGAACTTTCGCTCACCGTACACTCCAGAGAGACTTCTTTTCACCACCCCGTGGCAGTCCACCATAGGAGGACGCGCCGCTGGACGCCCCCAGACGGGGGGGGTCTGTGACCCCCCCTCTCTCCCCCTTTCCCCGGCCCGTGGTCCGCTGACCCCACCCCCTGCCGCCCCTTCCCCGATGCGCCATCGGCGGAGCCCCCCCCCCCCTTCTTCATGAGGAATAGGGTGGTCGAACCCAGCCCCTCCCCCCTTTTGGATTTCAAATTCGGACCCCCCCCCCCTTCCTTCTCAGAGTGTGTGGGGGTCGGACACCCACCCCTTCCTCCGGAACCCCAGCTCCGGACCCCCACCCCCTAACCCTAATTCCCGAACCCCCGAGCCCCAACCTCCATCCCTAATTCCAAACACCAAATCCCTAACCCTACCCCTATTCCTAAGCCTCACGCTAACCATCCCCCTACCCGTACCTTCACCCTCACCTTAACCCTGAACCTAAGCCTAACCCTAATCCTAGACCTTAGCCCAAGCCCTGACCCGAACTCTAACCCAAACCCTTACCCTGCGGTCTCCCCCCTAACCTCAAACTCCGAACCCCAAACCCCACAATAACCCTCACCCTAACCCTCAACCTAGCCCTACTATCTCAAACCGAATTCCTTGACTCCCTAACACGAGCCCTAACACCCTACTCTAATCCTATCATCCTAGCCCTACCCTGCATGATCCCCTAACCCCCGAACCCGAAACCCAACCACTTAAGCTTAACCCTAACCTTAACCTTAACTAACAGCCTATAAATCATGAAACCCTCACATCTCTCAAACCGCTTCTTTGGTCGCCCATGATATCCGCCCCCACATTCCCTCGTACCCCCAAAACACTGCATTCTGCTCATGCGGACCAATTCAAATGCAAAAACAAACATTCCCGTGCATGCGGCTCGAATCCATTGAAAAAAACTGCTCCGCGGCACACAGAGACGCCTCCAACTCGTGCGATTCCAATTAAAACATACGAATCCGTGCACGCCTGCGCGCGTTTGTGCCCGTGGCGCTCCCAGGCGCTGCCCAGGCGTTTCCAAGGCGCCCCCCAAGCGCTTCCAGGCGCGGCCCAGGAGCTGCCACAGCGGCTCCAGGTTTCCCCAAGCGCTGATTTGGAGGCGTTCCCAGGCGCCCCCCAGGTTTACCACAGCGCTTTCAAAGCGACCTCCAGGCGCTTCCAAGCGCAGCCCAGTCGCTGCCACAACAGCTCCAGGCCCCAGGCGCTCCAGGCGCTCCAAAGCGCGCCCCCCGCGTCGGTAAATTCTGGAGGTTTTTTGGGCAACTCCAGGGCGCGTGACGCCGCCGCTCGACGGACGGCGCGCGGGTGCCCGTGCACGTGCCCTGGGAATATGTGCTCGCGATACATGTGCCGCGCAAGCGTTCGCTCAAAATGTCCTTCGCGCAGGGCACGGGCGCGACCTCGACCCTTGCGGGTCAAGAGCCACGCCCATACCCTTCCCAGCGGCCGCCACGTGGAAGCTGGACAATGGCCCCCCTGGGTTTCCGCAAACCTATGGCCGCCTCGATACGGGGGTTAATTCCAAGGGAGCGACCTGGAATCGGCGATGCCACGCTCATACATCAGCGACACGTCGCCTTGTCTGATTGGCAAAGCATCGCCGTCGTCGTCGACGTGTTGAGTTCTGTCATGGGTCATGGGTGGGTGGGATACGTTTTTCGGGTTTCGAATGGGGTTGGTGGCCCTAACCCTAAGCCTAAACATAACCCGAACCAGACCCCCGTAACCCGAACCCCATATCCTTACTTCCTATGATTAAACACCCCCACATCCCCACCTAGCCAGCCGATAGCAGCCCCGCCGTCCTAACTGTCAAGGAACAACAAAAACTCAACTTGCTTCTCGCCAACATGTCGTCAACTTGCGAAACGTGTAGCAGGAATGGGACAGAGTGAACATGCCTTGGGAAACCCCAAGCGGATGGTCGCGCCCTGCTCATCAAAAACGATACAAACAAAACGCTGCTTCTCGTCAACCTGGACTTTCTTGTCGTCGGCGCTGCGAAAGTGCAGCAGGAATGGGACGCGGCGCCCATCGCGCGCGGACGCCTGGCCAACCCTACGCGGGACCCCCCGTCCTACCTTCCCCCCCCAAAAAAAAAACGCAACGTCAACGTTTTTCTCGTCAACATGGATTTTCTTGTCGTCGCGCTGCGAAAAATGTAAGAGGAATGGGACGCGGCGCACATCGCGCGCGGAAAGCTGGCCAACCCTACGCGGGATCCCCCGTCCTACCTATCAAAAAGTACCGCGACGTCGACGTTTTTCTTTCCAACATGTGTTTTCTCCTCGCCGGCGCTGCGAATCTTGGCGGTGCAACGCGCGTGGCTGGAATGAGACGCGGCGCACTTCGCGCGCTGGACATGTTGTCGCCGACGATGCAACATGAGAGGCCAGAGCGAGGCTCAGCGTACATCGCGCGCGGTCTTGTTTCTCGCCGACGTTGCGCAACACGCGGCAGGAATAGGACGCAGCTCATGTCGCGCGCTGAACGTCCAGCCGCCCACGATATAAGACGAGCGACAGGCGTCGGACGCGACTCACTTGCTTCTTATAATGTGGGAGGGCGGGTGGGAGTGGACGGAGCCCTCTGGCTCGTTCGAGCTGGCTAACTTGACCCCTAGGCCCTACCCTAACAGCGAATCCTAGCACCCTAACCGTAACCCGACCACCCGAACCCGAAACCCCTATGACACTGAACCTAACACCCTGACCTTAACCCTACCACCCTAACCCTAGCCCCCTTACCCGAACCCTAACCCTTATCACCCTTAGCCTAACCCCCATAACCCAAACCCCAGTCCTTACCCTCTAACCCTCTCGTCCGAACCCTAACACCCTAACCCGACCCCCCTTAACCCGAAACCTAGCTCTCGCCACCCGAAGACAAATACAAATATACATATCTATATATATATACACATAGAACTACCACCCGAAACCTAACCCCCTAACC